AGTTTCAATTGCTCACACGCTGAGGTCCGGGGTTCGATCCCCGGTATGGTTGGAAACATTAGGATGTACTTCCTTAAGACACCTGCTGTTCCTGTTCACTCATCAGTAAAATGGGTACCTGGGTGTTAGTCGACTGGTGTGGGTCGCATCCTGGGAAAAAATGACCTAATTTGCACGAAATGCTCTGCATAACAAGGGACTTTCTATATAGTAATAGTATATCATTGATGTCAGCTAGGTCTGTATACTTTGTACTTGTAGAAATAAAGATTATTATTATTATTATTATTATTATTATTATTATTATTATTATTATTATGTGGCTTTAAAAGAATATGGATGGGCAAGGTTATAACTAACCAACAACAGTGCAAATGATGAACACGTTGAGTCATGCATTATTTCAAGTGCTCATGAAAGGTTTCTTAAATATGTTTGAAAGCGTTTTGCTTTTTTCACATCACTATTGTAATGTTAATCACATTTACAAAGGGTAACGTTAGTATCATGTAATATTCACCTGTAACAGACAACATTCCTCTAATTACGGGTCTTCATGAAGTTAATTATAGATGAGTATACAGAGCCATCTAGTGTATAAATTTTTTAATGACTGTTTAGTTCAGTAGTGGCCCAACAGATGGCAGCAGTGAAAAGTCCTCACTCGCTGTTACAGGCAGAACAGCTCGGGAATACACCCTCAAATGCCTACAATAAGGCGTGTGTTTCTATACATTTCTCACTTTAAGTGGATAAATAGAGAAAAACTATCTGTTCACGTAAACAAAATATAACAACGTGAAATAGTTATAGTTTCTTTCTACGTAGAGCTCTGGTAAGACACGTTTGCGCCATCTTTTGCCAAAAATAGCAACAAGATTTTCTGCTCAGTAATTCGATAGGTAGCAATAGTAACCAGAAAACAGACCAGAAAGAAAACGCACGTAAAGTGCGCGTATCATCTCCCATTATGAGATTATATACACCGAGAGGTGTATAACTTGGTGTATATATCCTGACAGTTTACTTCAATCCCTATTACAGTGATTAAAGTATCCTTGAATGACGGTAAACAGGTGACATTGCAGCCTTAACGACTCATGTGCAGTTGATAGGCTTTAAATCCAAGTGACCAACCACCTTAACTTAGATGGTGAGAGCGGTGATATTATTTATCTACGCAAGTGGAGTGACAAAGTTCCAGCACTAAAATCTATCCAATACAATGCCCTGGAGTTTGGATTTTTGTGTTTATTTTCCAACAACCTGTGGGTATCACATACAATGTTTACCAGAGTTCTGACGCGAGTCTTAGGTATGTAATGAACACCTCAGGGATGCCTTTATTTCCTTGCAGTAGAGATGATGAGTAACCAACTAAGAAAAATATAACATTATATGTATTTATACTGGATAAAAAGGCTTCGAGAAAGAATACTTAGTTTTCTTCCTGAAGCCATTTGAATATTCCACTTTCCCTACCAACCCATCTTTTCATTCTTTTTTACCAATAGGTATATTTTATTACATAATATACTTGGAAAGCAGTAACTCTAAACCTGTATGGATTTGAAGGGTTGCTTTTGTTTAGTTGGGGAATATTATACGAGGTGGATTTTAATGAAGAGAGCACAAGCTTAATGGCGTTGGCCTCTCTAGGGAGGCTCCTCGACGCGGGAGGTTCCTCAACGCAGGTGAGGGTTCTTGATATTAGAAGACTGTATGGAACCATCAACATACTTGTGTAAAGACATGAACACACTTGTATGCAAGCACCAATAAACTGTATGCAAGCATCAACAACACTTGTGTGAAGGCATCATCAACACTTGCGAGGAGGCATCATCAAGACACTTGTGGAGACATAACATGTGTGTGGAAGTATCAACACACTTGTGTTGTGACATCAACATATATGTGTGGAGGCATTATCAACACTTGTGAGGAGGTATCATCAACACACACTAAACCAGTATGGATTACACAGCGCCTGGGAATGGGAGGCAATGAGGTCTGACCCGAGAAAAGAGGGTTGCTATATATAATTACTTGAAGTTACGTGTGGTAGTTTCGCTATAACAATATTTACGGAAACAGTCACGTTAAATTATGCAAAAATCACACAAAATAATTTTATCACTGATAAGTTTAAAAAAGATAAGAAAAAAAAAAACACATTTTGGTAGGCTACTTTCCTAGACTGCGACTATTTTGAGAGCAAGGACCGTGGGCAAGCCGTCTGCTATTCTAGGCTCACGCAAGCCATCACCTCCAAATACACAATAGCCAGGTAAGCTACCTACATTGTCTTCCTCAGAAGCTCTTCCGTGGCTGACAGAAGTTGCGTACTCGTGATAAAAGACAGTAGAAGCTCAAAAATATTAAAATATGTTATAAAAAGTAACTGTGAGCACATTGTAGTGTCCACGCTTTTATCGTTTAGGAACGAATAGTGTATATATATATATGGGAAGGAAGAAATTAAAATATACGACATGACTGTAAATACAGAAAAAAGTGAAAAATAACAAATACTTGAGTGACTTCATGTGTTTACACATATTTCAGGAGAGTATGTTTTTAGAAAGTCCATTTGCAGATACTTTCAGAGGCACACACACACACACATATCCTCTGAAGACATTTGGAAACACTATGTGCGGGGGGGGGGAGAAGAGGGTTTGAAGAAGGGGATATATAAACCTTTGTCAGAACTCAGGTCATTCAATAAACTGGCTAGCTAGGGTTTAACTAGGCATTGTCTAGGGTTTTACTAGGCATGCAAAGAATTACAAACTACTGGGTGCCAGATGTTCTTTCGAAACATGAGGGTACTTGGGTACTCGACTGTTATTGCAGCGTAGCTGACATTTTTGTAAATTTTAATTATTTTTTCAATGGCAGTTTTCTTTTTCTGTCTGCCATCCTCCTAGAGATGGCCCGATATTGGACTCACTCTCTCCCTCTTGTCCCCTCAAGGAAGGTTCCTTGATGTTGGTGAGGGGCTCTTGATTTAGGGAATTGGATCTGTGCTCCAGTTTCCCAAATTAAGCCTGAATGCCTTCCACACCCCCCCCCCAGGCGCTGTATAATCCTCTGGGTTTAGCGCTTCCCCCTTGATTATAATAATAATAATAATCTCCCTCTTGTGAGATCACTTGATTATGTCTAGTCTGAACAACTTGATTCTTTGATGGGTGAAACATCTATTGAAAAAGATGGTACCTTCTCAGATTAGGCATATAAATGTGCAAACTTAACATAAATAAAAATCTTGGAATTAAGGGTTTGCGTGTAGTACCTAGAGAATGCCTCTTTCAACCGGATTCAAACTTTCAGCAATTATTTTTTGGGGGGGGGCAAAGGAAGATCCATATTTTTATTCAGCTGTGTATGTTTCAATTATCCAGCTTTATTAAACAAATTACCTCTCTCCAATAACTGGAGAATTAATCTCCTGATCGGCTTCAAACCCTAAATGCTGGTATATCTTATATAAAAAAAAAACTTGATTTGATTTTACGCCGTGTGGGTAACAATTTATCAGGTATATTTAAAAAAATAAGTAATTTTCTCCTTGCAATAAATTTAGAATGCAAACTTAAAGTGCTGATATACTGTACTCAAATTAAGGTTCGTATAGGTGCTTTACGACCCTACGAGGTAATACTTCGAAACGCAGAGCAATAAAATTAATTATTCTTTATAAGCCTAATGCAGGGTGTTTCACTCGTAGGAGGCCCTGAGATGGTATTCCCGTAGTTGCAACCGTCTTGTTTGTATATTATGTCTGTAGTATACAAATAAGACGGTTGCAGCTACGGGAGTACCATCTCAGGGTCTCCTACGAGGCCTTGAGTTGGTACTCCCATTAGTATTGTTACTGCAACATTAATTATTACAACACATTAGTGTTATTATTACAACAGAAATCAGAACTATAACATAACATTCTACACGGAGAGGTGCATTTCAGTGCATATACACTGAGTACACTATAATAATCCCTAAGTTAAAGTCTGAAGTATTCTTGATGCTGCGAAGCTTGTTCGATTATGGCTCTAATGATCCTAACACTCAATTAACCTTAAACCCAACAAACAAACCAATAACAAAAAGAGAAAACAAAACAATATGAACGATTAATACACAATACAATTTGGAAAATTAAAAAAGAAATCGCTAAATAAACCGATCGTACACACTGTAGTCACAGGAGATAAATATAGCCTTAATTAAAATTTATATGTATCTAACGAAGGATGCAAAAATTTTAATTTAACGACGGCACATAAGCAAACGAGTAACATTCAGAGGCTTTCTAAGGGCTTAACAAGGGCTGAAACGCGAAATTTAGGAAGCAAAATTGAAAGTCTCCTAGTATACAGATGCCACGTTTTCTTTTAATTTCACATAAATAAAATAATTCGTATATATTTAGATTGCTTTCCATCAGCCTACTAGGTTAACCTTTCAAAGTGAAACGTTTAGGCTTTACTGGTTACAATTTGAAGCAAAAAATCTGCAGATGTCATTTTATTAATAAAAATAGTCATTTGCTCTTCCTCAGAATACTTAGTTGAAGTACTCATCTCATAGAGTGAAGTGTGTGTCTTCGTGCATCTTCACTGCTACTGCCTTTGTCACCTTTCCAGCAAGTATTTATATTACACTCATATTCTGAAATATTAAGCATTTTTTTCTCCCTTCTGACTACATTTACCACTCTTCTTAATCTGATTCCAAAACTGTCTTTTGCTTTACGAACCGAGTAGTATTTCCTTGAATTACTATGAAACAAGTGAATTCCAGTACATCAAAACCCTGACTTACACTAGTGAGTTTCGTTGCTTTATTGCCATAACTCATAACTGTTTACGTTTACATATTATTTCTAACTTACCTATTATTTATTTCTAACTTCTATTTCCTTGTACTTTGAAGAAGGAAACATTTTGAAATCTTGATATTCTCTTCTTGTATAATACTTGCATGATGTGAATATTTTTTTTTTTTTTGCGATGCTCTCAAAAAGATATATCTGTAAAGAAAGAAATAGCTTAAGTATTTCACATACTTCAATCATTTCTAAATTACTATTTGCATCATTTCTAATTTCTAACAATGGAAGCAATACCGAACTTCAGTATTTTAAAAGGGAATTTTCAACCAGATGGGATACCAAATACGCACTAAAAATTAATGACAGAATAGAGATTAACAAGGCATTCAGACAACAATAGCCCAGAGAAGAACAGAGGACTCAGAGGCGAGGACCCACTAGGGGTGAAGGATAAAGAGGGTATAGTTGAAGACTAGATGGGGGAGAGGAAAGAAATGCAGAAGAAAGAAAAGTCAGGACTAAATCCAACAGATAACCCAGATATCCCTCACAACAACACAACTTTAAATAAGGAATATTATCCTACGTGTGAAGGACAAGAACAAGGGAAGGTAGGCTAGATTCAAGAAACTGGAGCCAAGGTGGGAGATAATGTTATATCTCATCCCTGGTTGAATTTTGGTCTGCTAAGATTATATATTGAACCATTTTCCCAATGGAATTCTGAAGCAAAAAAAATCTTGGTACTGTATATGTGATTAATAATTAATATATGCATATAATAGGTAGGAAATGCTGACATTATAACAAATTAAACTTAGCCAGTCTGTGACACCATTCAGCAGTGGTATTCTTCTATTTATTCTTATAAATTAGGCTAACAAACTTTTGTAATATGATATTCTTAACTAAAACCATATTTTAAGTGTAGTCTCCTGTGTTTCTTCTCTTCAAATCTGCTCATTCTCCAGGCCAGTAAATGCTGTGTTCAAGCTTGTGTCACTAACTCACGAAATCGTAATGACACGATTGCAAACAAGCCATACCACGGGGAGGGATAGAACCCGTGGTCAGTCATAAAACTCCAGACCGACGCGTTAGCCACGGCCAGCTGGCTACAAAAAGATGCGTCTGTAAAAACTTGCACTTGTAGTCACAGTGGTGTCTATGCTAACCTTCCTATGGTGTATAAATATACCTAGCTGGATGAATCTTATTGTAGCCAGCTGGCCCAGTGGCTAACGCGTCGGTCTAGAGTTATACGACTCTTTGATCGCGGGTTCTATCCCCACCCGTCGTATAGTTTGTCACTATGTAATGGTGCAAGTCGAACCGAAACGTCGTCATAAGTATCTTCCCTTTATGTGCGGGTTATTTGTGTACTGTCTAATATAGGTTATGTCCTAAACTCTCTCACCGCATGAGACAAGGAATCTATTTTATAAGTAAAGAAAATAAGTAATCATGCTAGGCGTTGTTCATTTTTTATTTTTTACCTGATCGTTGGTGTGTTGTTTCTGGATGAGCTGTTAATGCGCTTACCCTGTAAAAGGAAGAATATATTAATGGTCATGTAAAATCATACATACTTACCCTAGATATATCTTCAATATATATTTGACATATTCACGGTGGCTAGACCTAGGCATCGAAAAACTATATCTGGATTAGTGAAAAATCTTACCAGAGAAATGCAATGCAGATGACCTCCGACAACGATGATTCTCTCCGGTCTTCAGCAGCTCACACCAGCGCTCACACCAGTGTTCACACCAGTTCACACCAGTGCTCACACCGGTGCTGTGGCAAACTGTTGTGGCATGAGCCATAACAACGATACTTCGCGGTCAAAATGTTACGAGATGTAGTTCTCCAGTCTGGTGTGTGGTAAACACGGTGCTCGAGTGTGGGTTCTGCCTTGTTCTGAGATCAGTCTCCCACGTACGTGTGTTTCATTTAAAAAAAAAACGCGGGTGATAATAATAATCGCTATAAATAACCAAAGAAAATATGCACTTACCTGACAGATGGTGTGCTTCAGTCTCCCGATGATCTGTTAATCCACTTACCTGCAGTGAAAAACACTGAACATTAACAATTCTTAGTGTTAAAAATATCAAACTAAGAGATAAATATTTCTCTGTGTCCTATTATTGCCAAGTTGTAAGCTAGGTGTTTCACATGTTTTATTCATCAATTTCTCGGTGTATATATCCAGTGAAGAAAGGATAGATCACTGCCCATGTTATCTTACGGGAAGAATAATTCTGAAGACTCAGTTCTGGTGTATAAGCACAGCTATGTAAACACAAATATTTTAATGGGTAGAGGCAGTGGGCTAGTTAAAAAAAATAATTTATCCACAGGGGACCTTCGTTGAGAGGGAGTCGACAGACAAACTTACCAGTTCGCCTCTTGAAATCAGTGTAGGGTCGTACGAATAAATGTTCCTTGTACCCGTCTAACCATTGGAGGTCGTGTAAGAATTTATGTGTGACCACAGTGGGGATTACGACAACTCTAACAATAAAAATTCTTCTTATTATTATTATTTTAATGCCGGTTTCGCAGTGGTAACATGTCAGCTTGATGCCCATGAAGTCTTTCTCCTGTGATTAATCTAATAAAGGAAGACCTCGGTCAGATGACCAAAAACTCCAGCTGTAGGTCATCATACGACCCACGTCAGGAAACACTTGTCCTGTTGCTTGACAAACATAACTAACCTAGGAGAGCAGGGATCAGCAACCTATGGCCCGTGGGCTGAATCTGGCCCATAACCAGAAATACTCAAGCCCGCAGTCCCTCAGAGAAATATATCAACCCGGCTCACAGGCTACTGTCATCATGAATTCTGCGATCAAAACTACGATCAGCTGTAGCGGGAAGTGACTCTCTTACTATTTTTTTTTGTATCAGCGGTGTTACAAACCCGTATATAAGTCTACGTATGTGTTTAAAAATTAAAAGGCAGCAGACACCAACACATTTGTGACTGATACGTGATTTGAAAGCTGGGTTTTCTTCCGTTTCACTGACATTTGCTCACACAAGTAATTTTAGGCTGTTTTCCACTCCATTTGACGTGGACGTCGACATCGCACCAGCAAATGTTGAAATGGAACTTATTGCAGTGCAACGATGTATTAAGATCAAAATTTAATGCAACGGGCGTATCTCTAATAGAGTTCTACAAGAATATCTTCTTTAAACTGGTATGTATACCAACTTGGTAGATCACGCGAGAAAAATGATGTCAGTGATGGGCAGTTGATGTCAGTGATGGGCAGTGCTTACATGTGCGGGCAACTCTTCTCAAAAATGAAATACACGAAGAGTTAATTAAAAAACCGGCTGACTGATGCCCATTTAGATGACATCTTGCATCTGGCCTCTTCCAGCCTTACACCTAATATTGAGAGACTGACGAGCGACAAACAACACCAAGTGTCACACTAACTCCTATTAGATAGATAGATAGATAGATAGATAGATAGATAGAGAGAGAGAGAGAGAGAGAGAGAGAGAGAGAGAGAGAGAGAGAGAGAGAGAGAGAGGTGAGGATAGGTTCAATACCAGTGTCTCAAAATAACTTACGTTCAGTAGATTATTATTATTATTAAAGATTAGCCGGTATTCTCCCGGCCCGGGCCTTTTCCAAGTGGTGGCCCGGCCTTGGCTCCCTCTATAGGGAGTGTCTGAGACCTAAGTCTCCCATGGGAGGAGGCACAAGTACCTCCTCATCTTTGGGACCAACTGTCCCCAGGCCTAGCCACAAGCTAGGCCTCTCTGGTCTGCCATCCCCGCCACAAGGGGGCAAATAGGAATGACAGTCTTATGAGCTAAAGGCTCGGGCTCAGGCACCTACCCTACCCTAGAAGGGTTAGGCATGGTATCGATGTTCAGTAGACATAATATTGCTTAATTAAATATATAAATATATGTCAAAGTTTAGTATGTATGTGTTTATATTATTATTATTATTATTATTATTATTTATTATTATTATTATTATTATTATTATTATTATTATCATTACTTCTTTATTTTATTAACTATGGGGATAGGTGGCCCGCCATCCGCTCAAAACATGGGCCCCGGCCCCATGACAGAACAAGGCTGCCGACCCCTGTAGTAATATGACTGAACGCGTGATGCGCACGTCATTTGATTATGAGCTATTTAGACGAATCTGAGCAATAACTAAAGCTACTGCAGTTACGAACAGCCTTGTTTCTTGACCAATCCTACGCTTCTTTACAGACTCACCGGGAAGTTTCACTTTAAGAAAATTAAAGCATTCCTGTCTGTTCGCTCTTAAGTGATTTTCCTCGAAGGCTGGAAAAGAGGTTTCTAAAAACTGGATTATTTGAAATATATTGTGAGGTTAAGCCTTTCTCAGTATAAAGCAAAATACAAAAATGTATTGTTTCTTAAACGTGATGGGTGGCAACCTTCCAAGTGGGAAATTCCAAACTAGTGTGGGAGTGTTGGCATGGCACTAACCTTTGCCAAACATACCGAAATAAACCTGTATTAATTTTTAAATACAGTAATCAGGTTTGTCTGTACAATGAGAAGACTGAGTACTGCACACTGCTGGTCTACTGGTCTACGTCCTTCTCTCTGGTTTCCATGTGAAGGCGATGTCTTCGCTCTCTGGCCATATGACTCGTCTCTTCCAATTCTATCTTGTTGCTCTTAATAATCTTGCTTTATTTATGAAGGTGAAGGATGAATTGGAATGGAACTTGCTACATCGCTTCCCTAATATTCATCTCTACTGCTTAAGACAAGTGTTTCTTGATTGCCGTCTATCGCAAGCCTATGTACAGTAGCATGTACATTCGGTTTTTTTTTTCCTACCATGCGCATCTGTTTAGATACTTGTTCTTTTCTTATGTCTTCTTCCACATCTGCAGACTTTACTTTCTCGACTCTGAAATTATTATTATTATCACTTCTCTCGTATTAAACTAACTCGTATTGGCTATAATCACGATTTCATAAAGTCTTCATATTCTCATCATAAACATTATTCACATCTAAACCCATTTCTCCTGTGAATATTCTATGCTTTATCTTCTTGATACTCTTTCTAACAAGATCTTCATAGCGCCCATTGTCTGAAATTTGCATTTCGTCAAACTAAAAACTTCGTATCAGTCTGGGCCATAATTATTTTCCTACTGATAATTCTGGTGTCTACTCCACTTCCTGATCCTCAAGGTCTCCAACACACTGCTGAAACTGGCCACTTATTTTCTTTTATGATAGAAAATCGAGTCCATCCTATAACCTGAGTCTCGGTCAAAACTACCTATCGCTCTTCTAGTCTTTACTGAGACTGTCTATGGATCAAAGGTATATAACATCGACACTTTATTAAATAAGACACAAGTGCAACATCTGGTTATCTTTGTTGAGAGACGTTATGCCCAATGTAATACTGCTATATAAGAACAGAATTTTTTTACAGAGGAGCCGGTGGAAGGAGTGGAGCGATGTAGCAGTAGTAGACGTTGTCACATGTGGGGTGGGACTACTAGTGGAAGTACGTCAAGCACACTGGGCGGAATATAGATTTAGTATTCGAGTTGTAGAGATATATTCCAGTTTCGCATAAGCAAGCTGGTGTCGATCTAGTAGTAGAAAACACAACAGTTCAACTTGGCTTGAGCGATATCCCATTACTGTCTCCCTTACGGTTCTAAAACTATTTATCAACGTACAACCCAGTCCTACCAGTTCTTTCTACTACCTGCCCACTTACAAACCAAGGCACCGTTGTCCCCGCAATTATTCACTTAATATGTTATGTCTGCCCACAATAATTCACCTTAATACTAATTTCAGGGATATTTAAATTCCAAAATGTATGAGATAGATTATACACTGACCAAAGAAATACACAGCTTTCCATCCCAGTTTGTTAGTTCTAAAGCATATCGACTACACGAGTATTATGAAGGTCACAATCCACTTTTACACTACGAACAAGTTGTATCTAAATATCTGTTGATATGCTTTGCGCCAAGATGCCCTTGGTGGAGTCGAGTTTCAGCAGCTTCTTGGCCTTTCTCCAAAAGTGGGATCTGGTTTCATGTGTGTGCCACTTTGTTCCACATTCCAGTGATACTGTTGCTGAGGCTTAGAGGACAGATATATCCCTCAAACAGAAAACAAATTGGATCAATAATATACAGTCCATATATGGGAACAGGACAGTCACATCGAGGGTCTCACACCTACTAGATTGCCATTCTTCATTTATTAAGCGAACTATTTTTTTTCTAACCTATCTATGTGATTGGTAAATCACGAGCGTTCTGACATTTTTAAGGTAAGAATTCACAAGTAACTCACAGTCTGGAGAATAAAGTATGAAGAGGCATGACCCAACCTCCAACAAGCTTTCAACAGAGGTATGACCTGACCTTCCGTGACCAAACTACCTCTACGTAACTTGATTGCCAAACGTTCTACAGATGTTACCATTCCTTGCATGCAAAACACTGTCTTAAAATTGAACTGTCCTCGAGAATCTGATGTGGCATTCATTCAATAATATTTAAGTCTACAATTCGCCTTTCATATAATTATCATATTGAAAAAAACCCTTGTTTGGCAAAAACAATCGTTAGTTTATCAGAAAAGAATACAAGCGCTGCCTAAAAATTACAGTACCACTATTTATTTTGTAAAATTGTTTCAGGTCTCAAATCAGTACCGAAAAGGCATTTTCCGTATATCACAGTCAAAGTTATGTAATTGTGGATTCTAAAATCTAAATGATTACAACGATAAAAAAAAAAGGTCCAACAATTTAAAATGTAAACAGGAAGTTTAGTAATGGCTGGTTGATCCGGGTCCGGCAGAGTTGATGCTCACAAACATAACAAAACATTCCTGGACTTGACCTCACATAAACACACATATATATATACACGCATACACACCAAAATAACATATTCTTATAGACGTATATAAAATCTGTATATAAGATAAGATACAGGGTGTTAGAGAGACCCGGAAGCCTCACTTCTCGGCTACATTAGCCGAGCTCCTGGAGCACTTGATGTATACAGATCACTTCATGCACATGACTGAATGTTTCAACATACAGGCTGTATGAAAAGGTAGTAGTGTTGACTATTCATGTGTATCAAATCATGCATAAATTAACGGAAATAATTTGCCAAAGAGGCCCAATGATGTCAACGTCTGTGAGCGGCTGTACGTGGAATGCAGCGATCAATGCTTAGAATTGCAAGGTAGAGCTCAGAACTACTTACGATTGTCCGGAAACGAATTACGTACGGAATGAGGAACACTACAATATTTAGGGGCGAGGATGAGCAAAAAAACTGACATTCGTATAACAAAATATTTTACTGACGAGAAATGCTAAACTCTGGGGACCGGGAAGTGAAGTTTGATTTAAGGATACGGAGTACACCTCCAGTTCCTTGAATAAAGAGCCTATTAGCAGGATCAAGGCACAACTCTTGAAGGAATTCACATTTGCAAACGTACATCTGGAAACAAAAATATAAACGTGACTGCAAGTGGATGCTTTAGTTATGTGATATATTGAGAACATAAGATTATCTGCTTCAAAACGGAATTATGCATGTGGTCTCCTAGTGTGATTACGCTGGTCTGCCAAATTGGATGTATTTCAAGCTTGGTGGTCAGTGCGTGCGGCCGGCGCTATTCTTGCCTGTTGCAAGCTAAAACCTCCCACCAGCAGCAGCACTTACCTTTCCTGGTGATCGCTCCTTCTCACTGCTCAGACGTCCCTTGCTTGGTGCTTGTTACAGTGGTGTGTTCGTGGTGGTGCAGTGAAGCTCGTTGTAAGTCACGCATATCTGATAAAATTAGAAAATGACTACGATATAATTTATGTTTATATACATGCGTATACAAGTATTAAATTAACCAATATACTTGTGAGGTTGGGAGACTGAAATTTACCAAGTATTCCATAAAGTTTTCGACAAGAAGGATTATGATTTTTGAGGAGACGAAGGTTACAGGTTAAAGCAGGATAAACAGAAAATACTCATGAAAATAATCCTGCATTAAAAACGCAGATATAAGTAAAGGAATATATACAGATCGAAGTATCTCTATCAGGATGGTGCTTTAATCTTAATGCTATGTACTATATATATATACATTTTTTTTAACCACATCGGCTGCCTTCCACCAAGGTAGGGTAACCTCAAAAATGAAAACATTCACTATCATTCATTCAATAGCTATCTTGCGTGAAGTGCACAAACAATATAGTTCAAATAACCCACTGAACCGTAATATTCCCACCTCTACTTCGGTTCTGGCAATATACTGCCCACCTTCCGGACTCGAATTCCCACAGCATTTCAAATCTCAAGAACCACTTGTCTCCACTCACCTCGATGTAACATTCTCATACAAGTCTATTGAATGCTCAAGTGCCTACCAATCCTCCGTCCAACCCTTCCTGGGACGACCTCCAAACTCCCTTCCTTTCTCCTTGGTTTACACACACAGTTGGTCATTCTATTTTGGTATACTCTTCTTCTTGCCTTTATAAACTTATTTCCACAGACACCTCAATACTTCACTGTTCTGTGATTCACTTCCTCTTTTATAGACTCGTCTGCCGACAAGTCAACCCCAAAATATTTAAATACATTCACTTCCTCTATACTTGTTCCCTCCAATCTGATATCCAATTTTTCGCTGCCTAAACATTTTGTTTAATGATCACCTTGTTCCTTTTTGTATTCGCTTTTAATTTCCTTCTTTCGTGCACCTTCCCAAACTCGTCCATCAAGCCTTGCAACTTCTTTCAGAATCTCCCAAAAGAACTATGTCGTCGGTAAAGAGTAACTATAAAAACTCGGACTCTGCATTAGATTAATCATCTTTTCATCGCACACACCTCCACCACATCCCAGTCTTTACATTTTAACTGGAAAATAGTACCCTTCTCTCCTACTTACCCTAATCCGACCTCACTCTCCTCTAAAACTCTCTAGTGCCTTTAAGCAGGTACTATTTATTCCATACATTTCTATCTGCCGCATTACTTCCCTATCCACCTTGTCATTTACTTTTTCTAAATCTATAAACGCGACAAACAGTTCCTTTACCTATTATCTAAGTATTGTTCACTTATATGCTACTGATCCCCTGCCCTTCGTAAATCCTCTTGTTCATTTGCAATCCTACTTTCTGACTTGTCCTTAAATCTTTCAACAATAAATCTACCCAATACTTTACCCTGTATCACTACTCACGAAGTCGCAATAACACCATTAATACAAATTACAGAACATGTGGGGTTCGAAATCAGTTTTAGGACTGGCTTGCCACGGGTTCGAACCCCACCCGTTCTGTGAATTGATTTACCCGGTATACTCAACAGACTTATTCCCTCGTAGTACTTATAGTCTCTCTTGTTCTTCTTTCCCATTATACAAGGGAACTCTACATGTTATTTGCCCATCCTTAAGCACCTTCCCTTCTTTCATGCATATACTTACTCCAGCCTACTTTTAACATCTCAGTACTAATAACTGTCCCGACTGCTTTAACCCATATCATTTTACGTATTACCTCATACACTTTTAACATCTCAGTACTAATAACTGTCCCGACTGCTTTAACCCATATCATTTTACGTATTACCTCATACACTTTCCCCCAACATCCATCTCTGGCTCTACTCCTACTTGATAATATTCTTCCCTGCTCAACGCAAGATCTCACAGCCTTGTCTTCATCAACATTTAACGACTTCTCAAAATATTTTCTCCATTTTTCCAGTACCTTCACTTCCATGTCTAACATTTCCCCTCTTTTATTTTTATCTGACAAGTTCGCTTGTTTCCAAGACTTTTTCAACTTGTTACTCCCAATACTGTTTCTTATTCTCAGCTGGTAAAGAGACTCACCCATTCTCTCACTGGCTCTCATTTTGCCCTCACCCCACATTTAACTAGACTTTGTTTCTCCAAATACTCTTCCTAGCGAATATAATTTTTGTATTGTAAAAGCCTCCCATATGTTAACTTTTTATCCCTTATCACCCTCTTAACATCATTATTCCACAAATTCTTCTTCCCACCTGCACCCACCCTCTTATAACCACGAACTTTTGCTGCACACTCAAGTGCTGCAGTCTTAGACCCAACCACATAATTCTTCAACCTGTGGCTCATTACCTGTGCTCTCTCAACCCCATCTTTCTACTATTAAGTTTCAAATAACTTCCACCGTCTCCTTTAGTTTCTTTAAATTCACTTCTCTCTTACCACCGACACCATTCTCTTTGTACTCCATCTGCCTTTTACTCTTACCGTAGCTACCACTAAATAATGATTTGACATATCAGTCACTCCTTTAAAATCATACACACAGTGAAGCCTACACATCAACCTTTTACCCTCAATAGAGTCATTCAAAATTCTGTCAATGAGCACTATATCATATCTCGTAAACTCATCGTTTTTTATTAAAATAAGTATCACTATCAAACCTCTTTCTATGTAAAGTTCAATTAGAGGCCCCTTCCCCATTACCATTTATCCCTGGCATTCCAAGTCTTCATATTGTGCCATCTACAACTATTTTCAGTTCAAAACTCTAAACACTGACTAACACCTCTCAAACTCTCTCCTCTATACTTCCTTCGCCCCCAGGTGCATTAACACTAGAGAATAAGTGGGATGTGAGAACTGGGTTATAGTAAATGTTTATGCACACGATACTATCATGGCGCCGTATGAACCCTCACGGCTCATACAACACCTTGAGAACGGGAGACAATTAGGTTTGATCAATGGAGGATAAGAACATGTACAATTCGATGTGGAAAAAATTTTTCCCTTAGAGAGGCTGTAGTTTGTCAGTGATGCAACATGTTTCGAATCTACAATTATTTGTATATTAATACCGAAGTCACAGCTATCAAATTCGGGTCATGCACATGACAGAAAACGGCACTGTTGTTACTGGCTCTTCTAACTTCGTGTTTGCAAGTGTAGTTACTGAAATTTATTTTCGTTTCCAATCTCCAGAAGCTGATTGCAAGGGAGAAAACATTCACGCTCATCTCGGTTGCCCTTAACTTACATTTTGACTACATTTTAACATGGCTGTATATGTTACAGCTATACTCACTATTTTTACACGGTGTTTTTTAACATTATACTTGCATTAAATATTCTTAATGCAAACTTATGATCGTGGTGTTCAGTCTTCAGTAGTGGTGGATAAGAGCACAGCTGTGTTCTTAGTGTTTCGTCAAGCCATCTAATGGTTATAATCATAACCATAATTTTTCAAGGGATGGACTAGTAAGCTAGCGAAAGGCCTCTGTCAGAAAACCAAAAGTTCCAGCTGTGGGTCATCAGATAACTAAGACCCGCGTCAGGAAACACTTGTCTTGTTTCCTGACGGACCTTAACTAACCTAACCTTAATGGTTCGTCATAAGTAACTGTATGTAGTGGAGCAGAAGTATGTTCTTAGTGATTCATCATCAGTAACTATATCTACCAGAACAGAACTGTGCTCGTAGTGTCCAGTCTTCAACAGCCGATTCATCATAAATTTTAACATCCGAAGATTATAGCACTTATTTCCCTTTTTTTTAAATTCGTTTCATTGCTCTACAATCCCATTTAAAAAAACTACAGTTTCCTTTCGGCATCTTTTCCCCTCACTTTGCAAATGTTGCCTTTCGCTCTTCCCGATGAAGGCAATGAGACAGCTATATATTCTTTCATGACTTTACAGTGCGTTTATGAACGTTAATGTGTCGTTTATTTAAATCATATCCTTTGCATTACAGGTAAGGTCCAGTGAAAGTATTCAGAACTGTAGTTGAGAACATCAGGCACCCACCACCACCACCATGCCCGGCCACGTGAAGAAGAGCACGGGTCCCGACCCGGACCCCTCCGAATTTCTGTACATATCAATGGAAATGAAGATGCAGGATGCAACGAAGCCTTACGACCCTAAGAAATCCTGTTGGGTTCCTGATGAGAAGGAGGGTTTCATCGAGGGCGAGATTCAAGGTAACAAGGGCGATCTCATTATCGTTTACGCGGGAGGCGAGACCAAGAACTGGAAGAAGGATCTCGTGCACCAAGTCAATCCTCCAAAATACGAGAAATGCGAAGACATGTCCAACTTGACCTACCTCAACGACCCCTCCGTCCTCTACAACTTGAGATCTCGCTACGTCGCTAAGCTTATCTACACCTACTCTGGTCTCTTCTGTATCGCCATCAACCCCTACAAGCGCTACCCCATCTACACCAACCGTGTGGTCCAGATCTACCAGGGCAAGAGGCGTAATGAGGTGCCTCCCCATCTCTTTGCCATTGCTGACGGTGCCTACATGAACATGATGCAACGTAAGTACATATGTTCACCATTTTTGAAATTATATAATTCATCTTGAGTTATACATAAAAACCCGCTAAGACTGGAAGGGTAACAGATCTCTTGTACAATTCAGAGTATCCAACCTGAGCCATAATCAACTTGTGAAGTCGGAGTTAAAACAATACCAATAATGATATTATTAAGGAAAGAATATTTCATAAAAGTTGGCATAAGATATATTCAAAAAACCTTTTGTTCTAAGCATTTAAATCCTCTTGCAGTGGTTCTTTTTTCCTTCGATATATCTTCATGAATGCAGATAGTTCAGGGAATATAAAACATCTACATATAATTCATTTCATTTTTTCCAGTTGTTGAAAACCAGTCTATGCTTATTACGTAAGTATACGGTGACGAGCTTTTTCTGAAGATGATGACATAAATCCCATGTTTGGAAAAAAATTCGTGATAGTCTCCTTCAGTTTCAAATGATTAAATTAGTATTTTTTTTAATTACATCCAGATTTCTTTCTTAAATATGGCCAAAATTATATAAAATAATTACAAATACAGTACTCCTATTTGCTTTCCATTTGCAATTATTTTAGAATTAAACAAGAAATTGGTATCTGCTCATTGTACATTTCAATATATATTTCTTCTCAGTGATTGCAACACGTTGCTTCTATTAACCACATAATTCCGTTCACCCCACCCCTAACAGTGGTGAGTCTGGTGCTGGCAAGACTGAGAACACCAAGAAGGTGCTCTCCTACTTCGCCAACGTCGGCGCCACCGCCAAGAAGAGTGATGAGAAGAAGCAAGTAAGAATATATAAGAAATATCATACGTTAATTTGTGGTAGTCTATGAGTTACTGTGTGTTTAAATGTCAACACTTCTTTTTGGTCAAACTACAAAAAAAAATTACATTATTTAACTTCAATCAAAATATTCATTAATATTTACACTTTCTTTGTGACTTTAGATACATGAAAAGAGTAATTTTATTGTTTGACTGTTTTAGAAGTTATTATAATAAGTTACTTCAACTACCCTTTCAGAATCTGGAAGACCAAATTGTTCAGACCAACCCAGTGCTGGAAGCCTTCGGTAATGCCAAGACAGTTCGCAACGACAACTCATCCCGCTTCGTAAGTATAGTAATATACATTTGAAGTCCTACTTTGGTATCAAAACATTTCGAGTCATTTAACGATTAGTCTTTCCCTTCCCAAAGAAAAAGGTAATCCAAGTTATGCAAATTTTTAGATATGTTGAATAAATCAGAGTAATTTATATTATGCAAATTCTACAAATTAGTATTTTATGTTTGTTTCGGTTTAAAATTAAAGGTTAACATGTAAAAAATTACATAATTTTAATTAAATGTTTTTCTGGGAAAAGTCGAATCTTCAAGTACTCAAAAATATATTTTTAACAGTTAAATTGGCAGGTAAAATTTTGTAATATGGGCTGGTGCATTAATTTGCATTTGATGATCAGTGTATTATGTATAATACAATAAGTTATAAAGTAAGTCCTGGAAAATGCGAATAACTATTATGAATAACATGATACGTACTGAGGTAGAACCTTTGCAATATTTCAATTCCTATACAAGACAAAGGAAGTGGTTGCCCACTACACATAGTTCAAGCAATAGTCCACTTGATAAATTAGATACAAGTGTAACACTTGGGTGTCTTTATTGATACCCAAGTGTTGCACATGTTTTCTAATTTATTAACTTATAGGTTCTCTGAACCATTTATCTACAATAGTCTACTTACCTATGCTGGCGTTAAGTTTATCACCCGGTATTCATCCACGGTGTGAACCGATCGTACACGGTCCTAGTTTTGTTATTACCTCTATCTTGGAATGGATATGCACATGATTATATAAGAAAGCAATAGGATAATAATATTTTAACGACCGTGTGTTGACAAATGTTCACTAATTAACAGTGTTTTTCTTAACTTCACTCACAAATGGTAAGAGTAAGGCTTCACGAAATAGCATTATGGATAATGTGACGTTATATAATTCTATATACGGTCTGAAATTACGAGAACGAGTAATTACGTTGAAATATTTCGCTAATTTAAATCTTTATATAAAATTATATTTGCATATGTTTGCAACAGGGTAAGTTCATCCGTATTCACTTCCAACCCAACGGCAAACTGGCCGGTGCTGACATTGAGGTCTACCTGCTGGAGAAGGCCCGTGTGATCTCCCAACAATCTCTTGAGCGCTCCTACCACATCTTCTACGAGATGATGTCCGACCAGGTGCCACTGATCAAACGTAAGTGCGTCTTTAGTAAAACATCAGTTAAATTCTTGAATAGTTCACATGTAATTTACGTCATTGATTGTGATTTAAAAAAAATCACCAGTTACTGACATGGACATTACAAGTTTAAAATATCTAAAAATATCCAGAGACCAATCAAAGTAAAATTTTTTTTTATTTATTTATTTTCATAAATTATTAAAAAATAGCTCCGTGTTCTTTACAATTCAATATATTATGCTAAGTTCACTTCAGTCCTTATTATAAGGATAAAAAAAATATCCTTGACTAGTGAACAGTTTATATGCAGCCTTTATATCCCTCATGTAGTCCACAGTCATTACACCCAATTAATCAACCTAGGTCAAAAGTCGTGTCTTCGGTCAGGACCTTCGTGGTATTACGTCCTTTTGCGCGTTCCATCACTTCAAGAGTGCCTTCACTCCCTCCCTGGCTACCTCCTCACTCAAATAATTTACCTAACCTATTTATAAGTTTGCATAACTACATTTCACTGTGTTCCTGTAGAGGAAGAGTGTAGCGGGAAGGAAGGTAGGGGCAATCTTCACATGATCCCATGTTAAATATAAAACATCTATTTAATACTGTGTTCATTAACAGCAGTAAAGTTGACCATTAATATGCATGCGTTATAGATTTTATTTGTCATAAAGATAAATATGACTAGGCTTAAAATACAGAATATCATATTTACTGATAAGGATTAATATCAGCACTAACACATTCTCGCCAATATTACTATATTCATGGGAAAGCGCTACGTCCGTAGGGGGTCACAGATCTGGGGAAAACGGGAGGTAATAGGTTTGACCCGAGGAAAGTGAGGCAAAGCCAATTCCTTTGATCAAATTATCTCCTGAACAACACTCTCCAATATCGATATAACTCAGATGAGTATTATATGGAAGTGAAATCTTTAAATTAGGTTGCAAGTCTAGTCACTAAATGTATGCATAAATAACATTTTACTTACAAAAGAATGAAGGAACACTACAGCAGGTCTACCAGCCCATTCTAGATAGGTTCAACTTACACCCACTCACGTACCTTCCAACCTATATTTTAAGCTACCAAAATTCTTGCCTTAGTACGCTACCTGGGAGTTTGTCCCACTCATATAATAACTCTTTTCCCAAACCAATATTTCCCCATATCTTTACTAAATCGAAATGTTTACAACTCGACTTCACTGCAGATATTTGATATTTTCAACACGCTGTTACACAGAGTTTAGTAAAATAGTCAGCTCTTTGTTTTAGTGTGTTGGATGATTAGTAACTGTTGCGGTCTTGATCTCTGCGTCGATAAGGTTTACTTAAATTTCAACACATCACTTAAAATAAAGCAGTATGGGAAAATTAAACACGTATGTGCAACATTATTTCCAAAACATCTTCAGAAAAATAGTTTTTACCAAAATTATTGTAAAGAAACAAAGGAAACATCTTGTACTTATAACTATTATAGACAGATCATGTTTAAAATTGAAAATTACTATAAGCAACCAATCTTGATTTCTTTACAATTTTTTCAAAATTAATTTTTATTAAACAAAAAAATAGGTCTTTTGAGTTGCGTATATCTAGAAAATTCTCACTCAGAACGATTAGGCTTCAAATACTATTGATAATCAGGAAACAAATAAAATTCAAACCCGGGAAACAAAAAAAAAATTAAATGAAAGAATTTGACTATGAATTCGTTTAGGTCTTTGTATAAGCAATATTTGCATAAAACTTCGAAAATTATGAAACTTCTTTTAGTGCTATAAATATTAAACCATTTATCTATTTATGAACATTAAAGTATTACACAGGTAATTATAATTTCTGTCTATTTTTTTATATTGAATAATAAATTTAATGAATTATTGTATTTCTTGCTGTAAAAAGGTAATGCTGATTGATATGCAAATGAAGACAAAAGGCAGAACAAGTCTCAGTTGAACATTTAACCAAGGAGAGCTTCATCGAATTATGACTCATTAAACTCTTCCTTAACTCGCACTTGCCACGAGTTCTAACCCCACCCGTACCTTAAGCGAAACGTTGCTCCTCTTATAGCTTGGTCTGCATATTGTTTTCAAACCCATAGTGTAACTTATATTACAAACCGACATTCTTTTGTAATAGTAAAATCATTATTTTTAAATTACAGCCTTAAAAAGAGAACAAGAAAACAATCTCCTCAGATGAAGGTGAGCAGAGCAATTATGTGAGTCACTTTGAGTTTGACCAGACACCCTGACCAGTTAAAATATCGACGAATGTTGTGACAATAAATCGATATTTTAACCGTAGATAATTTTTTACTTTTTTTTATTTTTTTTCCTCGTAATACCATCTGACCAGATGTATCCTCACGTGCCCAAATGAGAGGGAATCCGCTGGATCGATACACCACAACCGAATATTTGACTACAGGAGAACTATGAGACGTTCTTGGGTTACTTTTAATATACAATTTTTTCCAATACCTCTACTAATTCTTTTCACCTTCCAGAGTATGTTGTTTTCAGTTATGCAACCCTGGATATAGTTTGAGACGATGATATCGATTCATGCTAATTTTTCATATTTTTTTCCCCCTTCCCTCGTCTTTAACAGCTTTATGTCACCTTAGTGATGACATCTACGATTATCACTACGTGTCTCAGGGCAAGGTCACCGTCCCTTCCATTGATGACGCCGAGGACATGCAGTTCTGTCACGTGAGTATCGTCAATTTTATATGAAAAGACAATGCCTTTATCTAAAATATATACTTATACTAATATAATGGTATAATCATAACCATGGAGGGGTAAGCCAGCTGAAGGCCTCGGTCAGATGACCAAAAGCTCCAGCTGCGGGTCATATGACTAAGACCCACGTCAGGAAACACCTGTCCTAAAGTAATATTTATTATTACTACAATCAAAACTAAGCGCTAAACCCGCAGGGGACATACAGATGACCTTTACTATAATATAATGATAATACGACGCTTCAAATTCCCTTCCTGTCACCCGTAAACATTTTACAAATCAAGGGATGACCTGCAAGCAGCTACACTATATATTACATTCATGAGGGAGCGCTAAGCCCGTAGGGGTCACACAGCACCTGGAGGAATGGGAAGCAGTCAAAATTAATCCAAGGTATAAAAACAAGGAAACTTAAGTAAACACTAGGATGTGTTAACTACAAAATTTGATCCGGTGATTACGGTCCCAAGATCAAAACGTTCTCTGAGATGGCCTAGTATTCGCCATTTGTAAACCACTTTTCGGTATCCGTTACTAAGGTTTATACTGATTCCTTGGATCAAGAGCCTATCATCGGTATGAAGAAACATCCCTCATAAACCTAGAAGAAGAATAAACATCAACTCGCATCTCAGTGATAACAAAGTTACCATTCACCTCTCCTGGGGCCACCAGTTGTTCCCCCACTGATATACTTACCCTACCATCACCAGTCCGTCTTCCTTCACCATCCCACAAGATGCCTGACGGCGTCACCACCGCGATAACCGTAAATTTCTTCGAATTTTGTGAATGACTGGGAACAGCTTCCCGTCCGTCCGTCATGGCGGGCGCTGCCGCCTCCCGCGCGCGCGCGCGCTCACCTCACTCAAAATATTACATTTATCTTACAAAAAATGTGCTATTTATTTAAAACTTTTATCTACTATTGCGATAAGTAGTCTTAAATTTTAATTCGTAATTTTATTAGTTTATATTATATTTTACTAAGATTATTATTATTATTATTATTATTATTATTATTATTATTATTATTATTATTTCTTCTTCTTCTTCTTCTTCTTCTTCTTCTTCTTCTTCTTCTTCTTCTTCTTCTTCTTCTTCTTATTATTATTATTATTATTATTATTATTATTATTATTATTATTATCATTATATTTAGGGTGAAACTATAAATCCGTAGGCTTGTGTGTGTGTGTGTGTGTGTGTGTGTGTGTGTGTGTGTGTGTGTGTGTGTGTGTGTGTGTGTGTGTGTGTGTGTGTGTGTGTGTGTGTGTGTGTGTGTGTGTGTGTGTGTCTGAGTGTGTGTGTGTGTGTGTGTGTCTGAGTGTGTGTGTGTACTCACCTAATTGTGGTTTCAGGGGTCGATACATAGCTCCTGGCCCCGCCTCTTCACTGAGTGCTACTAGGTCCTCTCTCTCCCTGCTCCATGAGCTTTATCATACCTCATCTTAAAGCTATGTATGTTTCCTGCCTCCACTACTTCACTTGCTAGGCTATTCCACTTCCTGACGACTCTATGATTGAAGAAATACTTCCTAACATTCCTTTACTCATCTGGGTCTCATCTTAAAGCTATGTATGGTTCCTGCCTCCACTACCTCACTTTGACTCATCTGGGTCTTCAACTTCCAATTGTGACCCCTTGTTTCTGTGTCCCCTCTCTGGAACAGCCTGTCTCTGTCCACCTTGTCTATTCCACGCAGTATTCTGTATATTGTCATCATGTCTTCCCTAACCCTCCTGTCCTCCAGTGTCGTCAGGACGATTTCCCTTAACCTTTCTTCGTAAGACATTCCCCTTAGCTCTGGAACTAACCTTGTCGCAAACCTTTGCACTTTCTCTAATTCCTTGACGTGCTTGATCAAGTGTGGGTTCCAAACAAGTGCTGCATACTCCAGTATGGGCCTGACGTACACGGTGTACAGTGTCTTGAATGATTCCTTACTAAGGTATCGGAATGTTATTCTCAGGTTTGCAACAGTTATTTGGTTGATGTGTGCTTCCGGAGACATGCTCGGTGTTACACTCACTCCAAGATCTTTCTCCTTGAGCGAGGTTTGCAGTCTTTGGTCACCTAGCCTATACTCCGTCTGCTGTCTTCTTTGCCCTTCTCCGATCTTCATGATTTTGCATTTGGCGGGGTTAAATTCGAGAAACAAGTTGCTGAACCAGGTGTCCAGCCTGTCCAGGTCTCTTTGAAGTCCTACCTGATTCTCATCTGATTTAATTCTCCTCATTAACTTCACATCATCTGCGAACAGGGACACTTCTGAGTCTAACCCTTCCATCATGTCATTCACATATACCAGAAATAGCACTGGTCCTAGGACCGACCCCTGTGGGACCCGCTCGTCACAGGTGCCCACTGTGATACCTCATCACATACCATGACTCGCTGTCAGGTATTCTCTGATCCATTGCAGCGCCCTTCCTGTGTGTGTGTGTGTGTGTGTGTGTGTGTGTGTGTGTGTGTGTGTGTGTGTGTATGTACTCACCTAGTTGTACTCACCTAGTTGAGGTTGCGGGGGTCGAGTCCGAGCTCCTGGCCCCGCCTCTTCACTGATCGCTACTAGGTCACTCTCCCTGAGCCGTGAGCTTTATCATACCTCTGCTTAAAGCTATGTATGGATCCTGCCTCCACTACATCGCTTCCCAAACTATTCCACTTACTGACTACTCTGTGGCTGAAGAAATACTTCCTAACATCCCTGTGATTCATCTGTGTCTTCAGCTTCTAACTGCGTCCCCTTGTTACTGTGTCCAATCTCTGGAACATCCTGTCTTTGTCCACCTTGTCAATTCCTCTCAGTATTTTGTATGTCGTTATCATGTCCCCCCTATCTCTCCTGTCCTCCAGTGTCGTCAGGTTGATTTCCCTTAACCTCTCCTCGTAGGACATACCTCTTAGCTCTGGGACTAGTCTTGTTGCAAACCTTTGCACTTTCTCTAGTTTCTTCACGTGCTTGGCTAGGTGTGGGTTCCAAACTGGTGCCGCATACTCCAATATGAGCCTAACGTACACGGTGTACAGGGTCCTGAATGATTCCTTATTAAGATGTCGGAATGCTGTTCTGAGGTTTGCTAGGCGCCCATATGCTGCAGCAGTTATTTGGTTGATGTGCGCTTCAGGAGATGTGCCTGGTGTTATACTCACCCCAAGATATTTTTCCTTGAGTAAGGTTTGTAGTCTCTGGCCCCCTAGACTGTACTCCGTCTGCAGTCTTCTTTGCCCTTCCCCAATCTTCATGACTTTGCACTTGGTGGGATTGAACTCCAGGAGCCAATTGCTGGACCAGGTCTGCAGCCTGTCCAGATCCCTTTGTAGTTCTGCCTGGTCTTCGATCGAGTGAATTCTTCTCATCAACTTCACGTCATCTGCAAACAGGGACACCTCAGAGTCTATTCCTTCCGTCATGTCGTTCACAAATACCAGAAACAGCACTGTGTGTGTGTGTGTGTGTGTGTGTGTGTGTGTGTGTGTGTGTGTGTGTGTGTGTGTGTGTGTGTGTGTGTGTGTGTGTGTGTGTGTGTGTGTGTGTGTGTGTGTGTGTGTGTGTTTGTGCTTGTTTGCAAATAGTTATTGAAGGTTAAGCATGAGCAATCACGAGAAAATTTGTGCAAAACACACACACACACCACCCGCACATAAACTTGAAAGACTTACATCTGTTTCTCTCTTCACTCCAGGAAGCCTTCGACATCCTCGGCTTCACCAAGGAAGAGGTTGAACAGGTGTACAGAATCACGGCATCTGTCATGCACTTCGGCGAGATGAAGTTTAAGCAGCGAGGTCGCGAGGAGCAAGCTGAGCCTGATGGTACTGAGGTATGACACTACATCTAATCCACTACTGGTTTTCGAACAGTTGTGGATGCGTGGAACAATCTTCCGAATAGGGTGATTGAGGCTAGGACCTTGGGTGGCTTTAAAAAGAGATCGGACAAATATATGAGTGGAAGGGGCTTGGCTTGATTGGTGTCGTGGGTACGAGAGTTAATTCTTGGGTAGCTTTGGGAATAGATGGTTTTGATAAGGACCTGCCTTGTATGGGCAAGTAGGCCTTCTGCAGTGTTCCTCTGTTCTTATGTTCTGTGTTTGAAGACAAAAACAGGTTGAAGGACCTTTTATTGGAACGAGGTTTCGCTCTGTGTAGGGTTTTATCGAATCATGAAATGATAAAACCGTACACAGAGCAAAACGTTCTGATGAAAGGTTTCGCCACAGCTTGTGTCGTAGTCATCATGCTTGTAGGTAAACGCTATTTCATGAAGTTTAATATATTCACTTGAGAAATTCAACATTCATTATAACGATAAAGAAAAAAATCTTATTCTGTTAAATTCTCTTTTTTTCCCCGCTAGATTGGTGATACAATCGGAAATCTGCTCGGCGTTGAAGGCGCTGACTTATACAAATGTATTACTAAGCCCAAGATCAAGGTCGGTGCTGAGTTCGTAGCCAAGGGTATGAACGTGGATCAGTGCAACTACTCTGTCGGTGCCCTGGCCAAGGGTCTCTTCGACCGTGTCTTTAAGTTCCTGGTGGCCAAGTGTAACCAGACTCTGGAGACTGGCCAGAAACGTGCGTCCTTCATCGGTGTGCTTGACATTGCTGGCTTCGAGATTTTTGACGTAAGGAGTTATTTTCCATTAAAATGTCTTTTATATTGTTACGAAGAAGTAATCTGTGGGCTACTAGGAGAACAAGCATATATAAAAATTATTTCTTGATCTTATTGTAAATTTCATTATTATTTAAGGTTATGAAGTAGGTTTAATATGAATATTGTTATTGCAATATCTTCTACGTAGTTACAGAATAATAAGTACGAACATTGTCGAACCGTTATCCAGCTTTAATTTAAATTTTTAAAAGGGTGGAGTGGTAAGTCAGTTGAAGGTCTCCGTCAAATGACCAAAACTTTAGTGGCGGATCATCATATGAACATCAAAATGGTATACAATACCGACAGGTTGTTAGGTAAGACACATATGCAACAGTTAGACAACTTTATTCCGAAACGTTTCGCCTACACAGTAGGCTTCTTCAGTCGAATACAGAAAGTAGGCAGGAACAGTAGAGATGTGAAGACGATGTAATCAGTCAGGAACTATCTGATAGTTCCTGACTATGGAACTGAACTTCTCCAGGCCGAGGGACTGACAACCTCAAATTCTACGACTTCAAGGGTGATGGACTGATTACATCGTCTTCACATCTCTACTGTTCCTGCCTACTTTCTGTATTCGACTGAAGAAGCCTACTGTGTAGGCGAAACGTTTCGGAATAAAGTTGTCTAACTGTTGCATATGTGTCTTACCGGATCATCATATGACTAAGACCTTGGTCAGGAAACAATTGCCCTGTTTTCTGACCTCTCTTACCTAACCTAACTACTATCCACATCTAGGAATCACTGATAGTCCCTGAATCTTTTTTTTTTAAATCTATATTTTTTTTGCAAATCATGTATTTTATTTTTTATATAAACAGTATAACGGCTTCGAGCAGCTCTGCATCAACTTCTGTAACGAGAAGTTGCAGCAGTTCTTCAACCATCACATGTTTGTGCTGGAGCAGGAAGAGTACAAGAAGGAAGGCATCAACTGGGTCTTCGTGGACTTCGGTATGGATCTGGCGGCTTGCATTGAACTTTTCGAGAAAGTAAGTATCTAAAATAGGATTTGAATACACACTTGTTTTAATTAATATATATAAAATTCTCCATTTAACTGTGCTTTCTGAGAATACATCTGATTCTTATTTTGCAGAAAATGGGAATCCTATCTATATTAGAGGAAGAGTCTATGTTCCCCAAAGCTACTGACAAGTCCTTCCAGGAGAAGTTGAATGCTAATCATCTTGGTAAATCTTCCGTGTTCATCAAGCCTAAACCACCCAAGGCTGGGCAGGTTGAAGGTCACTTCGCCATCGTTCACTACGCTGGTACTGTCACTTACAACTTGACTGGCTGGCTGGAGAAGAACAAGGACCCTCTCAACGACACTGTCGTCGACCTTCTGAAGAAGGCCTCTGCAGCACTTGTTGTTACTCTATTTGCTGATCATCCCGGACAGTCTGGACCTGCTGACGCCAAGAGTGGTACGTATTCTTCCATGTACGTATAATATCCAAACCATTTTCACGCGGACTGGGCTTGCAGAGGGGCATAAAGTATCCGTGAAAACCTTTACCAAGCAATTTCTTCCTCTTTGTCTGCAAAATATAATCTGACTAAGGCCATAGTTTTGTTTCGTGCGCCTCTTTTTCTCTTGTAATTACATATGCAAAACTTTTTAAATTAAACATTCGTAAACTTATTTCCGTTTAGAAATATAACAAAATTTAACCTATATATGCACATGTTCTTTGCAGGTGGAAGAGGTGCTAAATCCGGATCTTTCAAGACGGTGTCTTCCAATTACAGGGTAAGTAGACAATGTTGGCTTCCGTTTCTCTCCAGAATTCTTGTCTTTAGTTGGTTATTTTTTTTTAGTCGGTGAATTATAGGTGATAATAGAAATTAAATATTATGTGTGTATGTGCAACAATGCCACTTGGTGCTTTTTGTAGCTTCACTTTGTGTTTCTCGTTATATACAGTGTTGAACATGTGTTTTTAATGTATATATGTTTTGAACGTGTCTCTTTTCAAGACAATTTCAACCTGCCTATACGGTGTTTAACTTGCTTTTCATGATGCATAAATAGTTTCACTATTTGTCTCTTATTGTTTAGTTCACTTTTAGAATTCTATGTATACACATTGTTTAACAGGTGACTCTTAATGTATAAGGTGTTTAAAATATTTTCATTAACATACAGTTCGGTGTGTGTCGTTATCTATAACCAGTGTTGAACATGTACTCTTCCAGTCTTCGATATGAAAGATAAAAATACCCAGAAAAAGGGTCACTACGAGCCTAGCTATGTTCCATGTAACTACAAACAGACATAAATGCCCATAGGAAGGGCCAAGAGGGGCATTTACAACTTTTGCACTGCACTAGAAACAAAACTGTGTACATGGATCACAAAGAATGAGAGTATGGCTTATCATAGGCTACTGCTGGTAACCTGTCTCTCGTACACCAGATGTAAGGTGGTAGTGAGAAGTCTCGTATCGTAGGATGGTAAACTAACTTAATCGTATCATCATGGCGAAATACTAAACCCGTAAGAGCCTCATAGTGTCTGGAGAATGGGAGGAAATCTGGTTTGATCCAGTGAAAAAGAGGATAACTTCATTTCTTTTTTTTTTTTTTTTTTTTTTTTTTTATTCGCCGGTATTCTCCCGGCCCGGGTCTTTTCCAAGTAGTGGTGACCCGGCCTTGGCTCCCTATCTGGGGAGTGTCTCGAGACTTAAGTCTCCCATGGGAGGAGGTAAAGTACCTCCTCATCTTTGGGACCAAGTGTCCCCAGGCCTAGCCACATTCCCCGCCCTCACGGGGCTCGTAGAGAGAAGCTAGGCCTCTGGTCTCCCATTTACCCCGCCTCAAATGGGCTCGTGGGGATGGCAGTCTTATGAGCTGCAGATGGTAGCAAGCTCAGAGTCTATCTATTTCTTTTGGTCACCGGCATCAAAGTTGTAAATGTTTTGACGGTATCATCAGACTGTGAAATGAGAGTAAAAAGGGCACTTGTGTAGAGTTTAGGACATTTATTAAATAAGACGTTTCTCCACGAGGGACTGATGAAGCCATTCTGGCGAAACGTTTCCTTTAATAAATGTTCTGAACAGTATGCAAGTTTCGTTTTCCTCCTGTATAGAGGCACCCCCTCTTCCCTCATTCAGGGATTAACCCTGAGGTTCTCTCTTACAGGACCACCTCAACAACCTCGTGAAAACACCGAACACTACACATAATTATTAACCCTGAGGTTCTCTCTCACAGGACCAGCTCAACAACCTCATGAAGACCCTCAACGCCACTCATCCTCACTTCATCCGTTGTAGGTTCTCTCTCACAGGACCAGCTCAACAACCTCATGAAGACCCTCAACGCCACTCATCCTCACTTCATCCGTTGTATCGTTCCCAACGAGACCAAGTCCCAGGTATGTTAAATTAAATTATTCTCTGTTTAATAAATATAACATTCAACAGTAAAAATGTTTCGCTAAATCTATTAGTGGCACGCCATACATCCAGTTAAATCAACTTGAATGTCATACGTTTAGTTAACTGTTAAACCTATGACTAGCATGCACTCCATATCCATACTCTAGACTGTGCCTTGAGAACTAATGGCCATACAAAGGCTTTGCAACTAAACCTTAAAAGTGCTGACAGTATTTACTTTACCTGAAGGATATTTAAGGGGAGTCAGCGCCCCCGCCGTCGGGTTCCAGACCAAGTTTAAACTTTCATATATTCACAATAACGCCATTTATACAAGCGAATTTAACACATTTACTCAGGTTTTCTGGAATCGTATCATTTAGATACCTTGACATATCATTTAGATGCGTATAATATCTCTGTTGCATATGATGGAAAGCTGTTTAATATCTCTTTGTTGCTCAATAAGTGAACTGGAAAGCTGTTTAATATCTCTTTGTTGCTCAATAAGTGAACTGGAAAGCTGTGTTCAACACCATTACATTAAGACTAATATCATACTTCTGGAAGCATATTTTATATTTTTAATTATTTACACAAAATTGCCACATCTATTTACACTCACGTTTATACCTAGCTAGTAAATCAATGAGTCTGTATTGCAAGTTGCTACGTATGTGCACCATTATTAATATATTAAAAAAACTGAAGGGGACATAGAGCTACGCATATTTATTACGTGAATCATAATATCATAGCGAAGCTCATAACTATATGATTATTAGATAGCTAGAACGTTGAAAAAAATCGTGACTACACTAGGACACAAGAATTTAATGCCATCGTTTCTTTTCGTTAATTTAGGTGTGATTGACGCGGGTCTTGTGATGCATCAGCTTACTTGTAACGGTGTACTTGAGGGTATCAGGATCTGTCGTAAAGGCTTCCCTAACAGGATGATGTACAAAGACTTCAAATACCGGTGAGCTGACATTCGCCATAACTGCTCTCTAAATGAAGGGTGAACAATTACGAAACATTATAAAACTAATTATGAGTACTTTCAAGTAGTCTCAGTGCACTATATGCTTCACAGTTACAAGATCCTGGCCTCTAAGGAGATGTCCCAGATTTCCGACGACAAGAAGGCCGCCAAAGTTTGCTTCGACAAGTCTGGTCTAGACGAAGAGCTTTATCGCCTCGGTAACACTAAGGTACGTTGTGTAAATATTTATAAATCTAATCTAATCATCCACAAGGCAAATTTATATTTTATTTTTATGAGTTTGTATAATACCAATGCATTTATCATGTGTATTTCAGGTGTTCTTCCGCGCCGGTGCTCTGGGCGAACTGGAGGAGATCCGTGACGATCGTCTGGGTAAGATGGTTTCGTGGCTGCAGGCCTGGTTGCGAGGCTACAGCGGCCGCAAGGACTACAAAAGACTGCAAGAGCAGCGAAATTCCCTCATCGTGGTGCAGCGCGCCCTGAGGAATTTCCTAAAGATGCGCGCTTGGTCGTGGTTCCTCCTCTGGCAGAAGATCAAGCCTCTGCTCAACGTCACTCGCATTGAGGACGAGATGCGAGCCCTCGAGGAGAAGGCTGCCAAAGCTCTAGCGGACTACGAGAACGAGGCCAGACTTCGTAAAGAAGCAGAGATCGCCATCGCAGCTCTTCAAGAGGAAAAAAATAACCTTCTGGTGTCTCTCGAGTCCACCAAGGGTAATATGTCAGAATATCTAGACAAACAAGCCAAACTACAGCGCCAGAAAGCTGAGGTGGAAGCTCAGCTCGATGTAAGCGCTAGCACTATTTTTATTAATAGTTCAGAAAAAAAATATTGGTATAAACGATGAAAAAAATATGTCATGGTAATGTAAATTAATAATGGTCACAGCCGGTGAATGCGAACATACAACATTCTTTACAAACGCAGGTCATATTTCCATAGAGTATTTATACAGAAAAATGCATTTATCTAATTCTACATAGATTGAAAGCTTGATTTGATATCTAAGAGATTAAAGTATCCTTGATATTAGTATCTAGTTGGATTGCGGCCTTAATGACCTTCGTGCAGTCATGCGTCAAGCACGAAGTTCTTAGTAATAGATGAATTTAGTATTCGTTTTCATGGCACATATATTTTACCTTCATATTTCTTTACTTTCTCCCTCCCCCCCAAAAAAAAGGAAAAAGTAATTCAATTTAATTATTTTTCTGCAGGATGTAACGGATCGTCTTCGGCAGGAAGAAGAAACTCGCAAAAAGTTCGCTGAGAGTAAGAAAGAAATGGAGCAACAGTTGAAAAACTTGAAGAAGGAACTGGAAAACAAGGAGTGCGCTACTTACCAGGTAGAACAGGACAAGGCAGCCAAAGATCATCAAATCAGAACTCTGACTGAAGAAATTGCTCATCAAGAAGAGCTTATCAACCAAGTGAAGAAAGAAAAGAAACATCTTCAAGAATGCAACCAAAAGACTGCTGAGGATCTTCAGTGTGTCGAGGACAAATGTACTCATCTCAATAACGTGAAAACTAAGTTAGAGCAAACACTGGACGAGTTGGAGGATTCTCTTGAGCGAGAGAAGAAGCTCCGTGGAGAAGGTGAGAAACTGAGGCGGAAGAATGACAATGATCTCAAGCTGACCCAAGAAATTGTCTCCGAGCTTGAACGCTCTCGTAAAGATCTCGAAGACACTGTCCAACGCAAGGATAAAGAAATTGTTGAGCTTACATCTAAGCTCGAAGAAGAACATGGAATCATTTCCAAGTACAGCAGACAAATCAAAGACCACCAAACTCACATTGAAAACCTGGAGAGGGAACTAATAGACGAGCGTCATGCTAGAACCAACGCTGAGCAGGCAAAGACTAGGTTAACACGTGAGCTCTCAGAGACAGGAAGTCGCCTGGACGAGGCTGGAGGAGCCACCGCTGCCCAGATCGAACTTAACAAGAAGCGAGAAGCCGAACTGGCCAAGCTTCGCCGTGACCTCGAGGAGAACAACATTAAGTACAATAGTACTCTCAACACTCTTCGCAAGAAACACACTGACACCGTCTCCGAATTGTCTGAGCAAATTGCTAACCTCAATAAGGTGAAGTGCAAGTAAGTAAACCAATGAGAATAATCAAAACAGAAAATAAACAGCAATAATTCACGAAGAAAAGTGATCAGCTGAATGATTATTCTAAATTTTGAAAAACTGGTAGGTCAGAATTACAACAGTTAGCGTTATCCTCTTTTGACGTTTCCATAACTATGGTTAATAATATTTGAAAAAAATATAAAAATCTGTGCATGCATTTGTTTTAAATATTGCTTAGTAAAATAGTTTCTTTTAAATGTGCTATATAAAATTGTGCTTTGAGAGAAATTAATTTCAAGGGACAAATACCTGTAATTATATTTAAAAATGTCTCTTCTTGAAAAGAGTCAAAAGTCGCAGTACCAAGACTGAAACGATACACAAATAACCGCACAGAGGAAAGGGAAAGTAATATTTCGCTCCTGCTTGGACCATCATCGATTTGTCAGTGATCTAAGTCAGACCGAAACATCGTCAATACTCCTTCTTTCCTAAGTGCTTCTTGCTTGTGTATATATATATATATATATATATATATATATATATATATATATATATATATATATATATATATATATATATATATATATATATATATATATATATATATATATATATGTATATATCCCTTTCTTGAACAAGGTGGCTGTGATGCTGATGATGCTAGTGAAGGCTCTCCATCTAAGGAAACTGAGCCACACTTCCATTTCCTGCTTACGACTTTAATTAAAATATTTTGACTAAAAATCCATTAGTCAAATGCCTAATCTCTTAAATTTCATGGTACTTTTCATATGATTTTTTAAAAATATATGAAATATTAAAAAAATATGCAAAACGTGCTAAAACGTTTTTATTGCACATTTCGAAGATTCAAAAGCGGTTGGAACAATTTTCTGATATACTTTATGCGTAAATTATCTACCCTTCCATAGCTCAACTTTGAACACCTTTCATTCCCTAGACGATGTATTGAGCCCTCTGATTTTGAGCTCCTGCCCATTAGCATATAACATTAACCAGTCCATCTGATGTGTTAATGCAATAATTTCACCCAACAGACTCGAGAAGGAAAAAGAACTACTAAAAATATCAATTCATGACGGCAAGGTCGCGCTGGACAATGTCTCCAAGGATAAGGTACACGTAAATCACCATGTGTATGTCAGGGGAATACTGATCAATAAAAAGGTATATTCTTGTGTATTTCGGCTTCTAAAAGCGTCTTCGACACATGAAAGAGAGAACTAACAAGCGTCACGTTGCAGGCAGAGAGTGAGAAGACCATCAGACAGTTGACTCAGCAGACCCACGAGGTTAACGTGAGACTGGACGACGCCCTGAGGACCCTGGCCGACCATGACGGCGCCAGGAAGAAGCTGGCGCTGGAGAACGCTGACCTGGTCCGCCAGCTGGAGGAGACTGAACACAGAGTGTCTGAACTCACCACACTCAAGCTCTCACTCACCAACCAGCTGGCTGACACCAAGAAACTCGCAGACGTCGAAATCAAGGTGAGAGACTTGCTAACTCACTTCAATTATTCATTTAAAATTCTAAACCCGTGTGGGTCGTTCATCCCAAAGATTGGCGGATGATCGATCCTTCGTCCATTAAACACAGGACAGAAGTGCTACTCTTATGACTCGCGAAATTGTGATAACACGTTTGTAAACGACTCATGTATTACATTTTACTGATAGAATAAGTGTACTAACATTACGCTGTAATTTCAATAAGCATGTGTGTTATAACACTTTGTTGTTTTTCCCCAAAGAACCGCGTTACTCTTCTGGGCAAATACCGCAACCTGGAGTTTGACGTTGAAGGTCTTCGAGAGCAACTGGACGAGGAGAATGAGGTGAAGAATGACGTGCTGCGCCAGCTGTCTAAGGCTACTGCCGAGGCACAAATGTGGAGAGCGAAGTATGAGTCTGAGGGCGTCGCCCGAGCCGAGGAACTGGAAGCCACTCGTCTCAAGCTTGTTGCTCGTCTGGAGGAAGCCGAGGCACAGATCGAAGAGCTAAATATCAAAAACTCTAATTTGGAGAAGAATAGGCAGCGTATCACTACAGAATTCGAGCAAGTTCAAGTTGAGGTTGATCGTGCTCAAACCATGGCAATCGCTGCTGAGAAAAGGCAAAAGAACTTTGACAGGATTGTTGGTGAATGGAAGATCAAGGTTGACGACTTATCCGCCGAACTTGATGCTTCCCAAAAGGAGTGTCGCAACTATGCTACAGAACAGTTTCGTGTTAACGCCCTTTACGAAGAGAACCTTGAACATCTCGAAGCTCTTCGTCGCGAAAACAAGAGTCTTTCTGACGAGCTCAAGAACCTGACTGATCATAGCAACGAGAGCTATCTAACTCTCATTGAAACCCAGAAAGCTTGCAAGCGTTTAGAAGCCGAGAAGGAAGAGCTTCAGTCCGCCCTTGAGGAAGCTGAGTCTGCTCTTGAACAAGAAGAAAACAAATCGCTCCGTCATCAGTTAGAGCTAAATCAAGTCAGACAAGAAATTGAAAGACGAATTCAGGAAAAAGAAGAAGAGTTCGAGAGTACACGGTAAGTAACTGGGAACTTAAGATATTTCATTTGATATATCAACTACGTCTGTCTACCATTTGTACTGATAAATAAATCATTCTTCATTATTTACAGGAAGATGCATCAGCGTTCTGTTGATCAGCTGAAAATTTCCCTCGAATCTGAGGCTAAAGGCAAGGCTGAAGCTCTTCGGCTGAAGATCAAGTTAGAAACTGACATCAGAGAACTCGAAGGTGCTCTTGATCATTCTAACAGAGCTAATACCGAACTTCAAAAGCAATTAAAGAAGCATCAGAATGAAGCTGGTGAGCTGCAGCTGCGTCTCGATGAGCAGTTACGCATTGTCGCTGAGTTCCGAGAACAGTACAGTAATGCAGAGCGGAAAATCAGCTCCTTGGGCAGCGACCTGGAGGAGTCCCGCACACTTCTCGAGCAATCAGATCGTGGCCGGCGTCAAACCGAGTCTGAGCTTTCTACTGCTCAGCTACAGCTCAGAAAACTCACTACAGAAAACAATACTTTGACCAGCGTGAGGAGAAAACTCGAAAACGACGTGAAGACCCTTCAAGTAAGTATCAGCATTTCGCCAGACTTAAAAATAATATCATTCAGGTGAGTTGTGGTTTCTTTGTATAGTATGGTAGTTATTCTTGTGATAGTGTTCTGAAATGTCATTTTTCATTATAACAGATTGACGTAGATGAACTGGCCAAAGAAGCACGGAACTCTGAGGATAAAGGTAAAAAGGCAATGTTGGATGCTGCGCGCCTGGCTGATGAGTTACGCGTCGAACAGGAACATTCCCAGAGTCAAGAAAACACACGCAAAGCTTTGGAAGCAACCGTCAGAGACCTGGAAGCTCGTGTTCTAGAAAGTGAGGCAATTGCAGATAAATACGGCAGGACTACCGTTGGCAGATTGGAAGGTCGCATTCACGAGCTGGAAGGCCAACTAGACGAAGAGCGAACCACTCATTCAGAGGCCCAGAAGAACCTCAGGAAATGCGAGAGAACCATCAAGGAACTCAGCCACCAGACCGAAGAGGACAGGAAGAATCATGAGAAGATGCAGGATCTGATGGACAAACTGCAGCAGAGAGTCACTCAGAACAAATACCAGATAGAAGAGGCAGAGGAAATAGCTGCCCTGAACCTGGCCAAGTACCGCAAGGCCCAACAAGAGTTGGAGGACACGGAGGAGCGAATTCGCGCAACCACGAGCCAGACTCTAGTTACGTACATACAGAGTACAATATAACAGGTGTGCCAGTAAAAGTTTGGCTAACATACTCATTCTGCACTACCAGTAGAGACAGGTGCATGACTGAAGCTCAAACACCTTTACAGGAGAAATGGTTTGGTGATACCGACAAGATGTGGAAAAAGACACTGACGTACGGGTCAGGACATTTATTAAATCCACGAATAGAAGCGAAACGTTTCCTTTAATAAATGTCCTGAACTCTACATGGGTGCCTTTTTCTACACCTTTATATGAGATATTCATAGATATATATGAAAATATATCACCTTTTTCGTTTAACAAATAACATACATGAAGGAAATATACGAATAGGTGAAAAAAAAAGTTATTAATCATCCTTTATTAATAAACCACAAGCAGTGTCCTCCCAAGTCATTCACTCAAGCTGTCTCAAAGCTTGAGAAAGCTTACGAGGTGGAACTGTCTGCATAATTCATTCATACTGTTCTCTGTTATCATATTTATGTAACTAAATGTTACATTCTTCCATAATTACAGTTATTATTAACCCAATAATAAAATGCGTTAGCATTCTTTTGATAACCTTCATTCACCACGAATTCTAGAGTACACCAAATTCTAGAATACACCAAATTCTAGAGTACACCAAATTCTAGAGTACACCAAATTCAGAGTACACAAATTCTAGAGTACACCAAATTCTAGAGTACACCAAATTCTAGAATACACCAAATTCTAGAGTACACCAAATTCTAGAGTACACCAAATTCTAGAGTACACCAAATTCTAGAGTACACCAAATTCTAGAGTACACCAAATTCTAGAGTACACCAAATTCTAAAGTTCACCAAATTCTAGAGTACACCAAATTCCTGATACTCAAACGAAGGGAATTTTTACTCTCGTGATTGTAACATTATATAAGAGAAGGAATTATATGAGCATGAGCTGAATATCCTTGTTGAAGCCCTGTCAACTACACTAGAATCAAACCATACCACGGGCGGGATTTGAACCCGCGGTCAGAGAGTCTCAAAACTCCAGACCGTCGCGTTAGCCACTGGGTTCAAATCCCGCCCGTGGTATGTTTTGTTTGCAATCGTGTCATTACGATTTCGTGAGACACTAGAATCATTAAGGAAGGTGCATTACAACCTTTTTCTCCCACCAGACAAAATTACTTTAATCCCCAAAATAAGGACTAAAATGACCCCTTGAGTGTATATATGCTCGGAATGTATCCTGTTATATGAGAGAGGTTTTATTAAAGTTAACCCAAATAACAACATGTGCCAAGAAATGAAACTTGTGTTGATTTAGTTAAATATGTTTATTATGTACCCCATACCCATCCTGTGGGCGGTAGTCAAAAGATTACAGAGGTACATAATGGATCCAGGGACTGGACTCCAAAGTTATGATAGCTGAATTAGTTACAAAGGTAATGAACTCCAGGTAGATCTGGTCACAGTCATGACAAGTTACAAAGGTAATGAACTCCAGGTAGATCTGGTCACAGTCATGACAAGTTACAAAGGTAATGAACCATCTACACTCCTATACATGGTGGAGAGCAAGAACAATGTTACAAGACAAGCCTAAGAGTCAACCTGGGTATATACCCTTGTATGTTATTATGTCTTGGCACACTGGGTATATACCCTTGTTGATAAATTAGACACATGTGCAACTCTTGGGTATCTTCAATAAAGATACCCAAGAGTTGCACATGTGTCTAATTTATCAACATGTCGGTTCTCTGAACCATTCATCTACAAAACTATATACCCTTGTGTTATTATGTCTTGGCATACTGGGTATATACCCTTGTATGTTATTATGTCTTGGCACACTGGGTATATACCCTTGTATGTTATTATGTCTTGGCACACATCTGATACTAGTTTGCACTCGTAAAAATTCTTCTCTGGTCAGTCATCCGTTGCCTCACATCTCACCTCTTTTTTAATGTGTTTGCTCACACTATGTTTCCAAAAACTGGACAGGATATATACACCGGGAGGTGTGTTTCACTCTGTGTATATATGTTGTGAGATTAATCCCTATTTTAGGGATTAAAATATTTTTTGTCTGGTGGTGAGGCTACATGCAGCCTTAATGAATCTAGTGCAGTCGATAGGCTTTCAACTCTCATTAACCCATTTCTAAAGGCTAATCACAATTTTTTTTTTTTTGCAAATAGCAAAATTAAACAAAATACAAAGTGAAAATTACAGAGTGCAGAGATTATTAATAAAATTATCCCAAAACTTGAGATATCACCAGAGGATCACTTCATGTGGAACATTAGTCAACTTTAGTATCCTAAAGTTAGCTAATGTTTAGTGTTACTTATATGGACGAATAACCCTTAAAAAAATTGACTCACGAAATCGTAATCACACGAATGCAAACCATACCACGGGCGGGGCTTGAACCCGCGATCAGAGTCATAAAACTCCAGACCAACGCACTAGCCAGCTGGCCCAGTGGCTAGAGCGTCGGTCTGGAGTTTTATAACTCTGATCGTGGTATTTTTTTTTTTTAAGAAATTGTTCGCCACATATAATACTCAAATTAATAACAAATTACTCAAATTAGTTTATGAAGCCATTTTAAATAGCATTATAAACCAAAATACAGAGAAATATTCGAAGACTTGTAGCCCAATAGACTCCATAATTAACAATTATGAAGCAAAGTAGAAAATAACAAACTTCCCTTCATTATAAGACAGCAAGAAAATAGGGACATATAAATTATGATCTTATAAAAATAACGAAACATAGTGGAAATGTTTGGAAAGCGGCAAGTGCATCACTCAACGAGGCAATAAACTACACGAGGAGGCTGTTTGACAGAGGCCATACACAAAAAAGACACCTTGTTTAATAAGAGCATAAAAGAGGAACACAACACCAGGCTCATACTTGGCAGGTGCTTGTTAAACCCAAACCCACCAACAAAAATATTCGCCCAACCCATTATCAATGATACCCAAGGAATAAACTTTTGACAACCCTGTTAACTCAAGTGCAAATCCCATTCAAATCCAACCCCTCTCATTCGTGTATTTATTAATGTAGCAACATATGGGTAATTACACACACATATACATCTCTTTGACTCTTCTCACTCTCCTAATATAATGAATAAACAAAAAGAAAACAGAAGGTAAGGTTTGTCAGGAAACAGGACAAGTGTTTCCTGACGCCGGTCTTAGATGACCCGCCTTTAGGAAACAGGAATAAACTAACGGTAAGACAATAGTAGCAGTGTCCTGCCTGCCCTCTTTCCTGGTTCTCACATCATTGGAAAGAGATATCTTCAGAAAAAAATTCTCTGGTGTATGGGATAGGATATTAGAGATAATAATTCCCAAGTGATCCACTTACTGAGGAATGCAGAGACAGTATAATAACCTGTGTGACATGTCAAGATATCTTATTAATGAAAATAAGATACCAAATATACTAAGCAAATTTCCTAAGTTTGCTTGTAACACATAAGTGAACTATAGATATGTAGATATAAATCCATACGTACACCTGTTAACCCTTTTGGGGCCTAGTTCCTAGGCCTTTTGTGTATCCCTATGCTCTTGCGCTACCGTCCACAGGATGGATGTGGGGTGCACAATAAACTAGCCACTTCGGTGGCAAAATCTAAAAGAATCTACCAAGTGATAGTAACTCCAGCTCTGATGGAACAAACCCTCGAAGCTGGCCTAGCTGCTGAACCTTTAATAGAATATTTGACGATATCCTTATCGCCTTACTGAAGCCTCACACCTCAGGCTGACAGATTTCAACACCGAGACCATCCTGTGTGAAGTAACATGATCGAGATACAGGCGGAGAGCTTTTGTTCCCTTCTATGTAATTATATAGAATAGAATAGTAGCATACTGCTGACGTATCTAGTTTTACTAATAACAAAAACAGTAGTAATGCACATAGTATCTTAGTGAGCTTGAAAGACGAGATAAACTGAGATTAGATTTTGTGAGAGTAATGTCACTAGGAGGAAAGGAAGAATCAGGGCTTAACACAGCTGCTGGGAAAATAATATAAATAGAAAAGAAAAGAAGCAGAGAAGGAGAACGAGGACAACAGTAAATCTAATAGATATTCTACAGAAAATGGAGGAGAAAGGTAGGAGGACCTGCACATAACAAATGTCAATTATAATCAGGAGATCCTGAATGAACGTGGGTTATTCTTAATTAGAATTACATGGAGATGGTGGCGGTAAACCCGTAGGAGTCATACAGTGCCTGGGAATTGGGAAGTAACTAGGTTCGATCCAAGGAAGGGGAAGACAGGTCCAAATTCCTTGTAACAAAAGCCCCCACACCAGCTGGAAGAAACCTGGAATAAACCTTGGAAATAGGTACCTGTAAATCGGTTTAAAAAGACAAGTGAGCAAACAACGTTTCGGTCCTGGGACCTTGATCAAGGTCCCAGGACCAAAACGTTTTCTAAAAAAATATGTCCTATTCTTGGCTCACGTGATTTTTTATACCAGCAATAAACCTCCCTCGAGGGCTGCATATATGAAGAACTAGGAAGATGGGTATTAACAAAGGGGATATAATAAGGTTTTGACGATATCCCTTCAAGAAAGAACCCGCAATAATGGATTCAAATTAGATAAGTTTAGAATACGAAAGGGTATAGGAAAGTATTGATTTGGAAATAGGGTAGTTGATGAGTGAAACAGTCTGCCTAGTAGGGCTATTGAAGCTAAAACGTTGGGTAGTTTCAAACTTAGGTTAGATAAATACATGAGTGAGAGGGGTTGGATTTGAGTGAGACTTACATAATGAGTAAATAGAATCATGAAAACTTATTTCTTGGGTAGCATTGTAAATTGGGCTGGCAAATATTTTGTTAGTGGGAAGGATTGTAAAGGACCTGCCTAGTATGGACCAGCAGGCCTACTTGCGGTGTTCCTTCATTCTTATGTTCTTATTTTCTTATGAAATGAAGAGACAAACTGCAATGACAAACATCACGAGGCGGTATGGTACAGTATCCATAATAATTCCGAATGAGGTGAATAAACTTGACTATATCCGATCTTCACACTTCAGTGGATTGATATAAGAGAAATGTTGTGAATACCACTAGGAGTCAGTGACCCAACTATGCTAAGCTCTGAAAATCCGGGGGGAAGGGAGAATAGCAGCATCAATGAAACGACTGGTCTTTGACTGAAGCAGAGGACACTCACACCGACTTCGGTATGTATTTCCTGGTCCTCTGGCCAGGAGACCTAAGTCTAGCTTCGTTCATTAACTCTTCAGACAATTTCAAACGTATTTTAAGTTAGATTTTTCATTGTATCGTTTAAGATACCTCTGAGGTATGGCCTAATACTGTCAGCTGTCACTGGATAATCCTGAGGTTATAACCTAGTATTGTCAACTGTCACTTTAGATAATCCTGAGGTATAACCTAGTGTTGTCAACTGTCCCTATGAACACGCTTCCATCTTGTTTCTGTATAACAAATTTCACGCTTGCTACTGTGGAATAGGCTTCTAGCATCTTCTAAGCTTCTCAGCCCTGTTTATGATAGGCATTTAACTTATTGCTAATAGTATATTCACGAGGAAGGGCTAAACCCATATGAGAATTGAAAGAAGATAGATTATGTAATATCACCGTCACTAGCGAAATGGTTGTTAAACAGATAGACCGACTGAAGCAAAATAAATCCCGGGCCCTGATGAACTTTTTTCAAGGGTTCTTAAGGAGTGCAAAATGGAACTTTGTGAACCACTGACTAATGTTTTTAATATATCTATGTTTGCCCAAGGAAATATAGGATAGTACTAATGTATCGTATCAAGAATCCTTCAATTGCATTTAGATAAACATTTTAAATAAGTTATTCCATTATACTTACATAGGAACATAAGAAAGGAGGACCACCGCAGTAGGCATACTGGTCCATACCTTTTTTATGAAGATTCTTATCAAATCCAGCACTTCTCATTGACTATGAAGAAGCAAATAGCTTTTTTCGTGTTCTTGGGTCGAGCTTACGGCCCTTGGCTCCTTGCTGGGTAACCTTGGCACTAGACAAAGAGTGTCTTGCCAAAGGCCACATTAGAGGCAGGAGATGATCCTAGAAGTTGTCACTCTTCCCATACTGATTGCTGGAAGCTGCCGAGTGTTTGGCGATAGATGGAGGAGTTGTGCACTCATTAGCATTAACCTATTTAAAAACGGTATAGTGACATTGACAAAATGTTGATCAAAATATCAAATTATTGATAATACATGTTACCGACAAGATGATAAGACATTTTCAGCACTTCAGTATCTTTTTTGTCAAAAACTTCCCCATGTACAACAATCTTCCTTAGCAGAATGTAGGTGAATAGAATACTGGAAGCAGAAGAATTAATTTTAACGTAGTCCGTCGCCCTCAGTGGGAGGTGATCGGTCTCAAGCCTAATGCACAGGTTAGGTTAGGGAACGTTTGTCAGGAAACAGGGCAAGTGTTTCCTGACGCGGGTCTTAATTTATGTGATGATCCACAGTTGAGCTTTTGGTCATCTGACCGAGGCCTTCTGCTGGTTTACCGGTCCACTCCTTTAAAAAGTATGGTTATAATTATAAGTTGAAAGCATAGGCATGCAGGCAGGCAGACCCTTTTTATGTACAAGAGTAGAGGTGAGATGAGGCAGTTAGAATTAACTACCTCTCCACAATGGAAATATAAGCACATATGCAGTATGTGATCCTTTATTGACAACGTTTCGCCCACACAGTGGGCTTTATCAAGTCACAAACAGATCTGTTTTTGACTTGATAAAACCCACTGTGTTTTCACTATCTATTGATAAAAATTTCTTAATGTTTCTTTTTTATCAACTTTTGTGGAAAATTAGACACGTGCAGTTAGAGTGATCCACAGCTAGAGTGATCCAGTTAGCGAGCTCCACAGCTAGAGTGATCCAGTTAGCGAGATCCACAGCTAGAGTGATCCACAGCTAGAGTGATCCAGTTAGCGAGATCCACAGCTAGAGTGATCCAGTTAGCGAGATCCACAGCTAGAGTGATCCAGTTAGCGAGATCCACAGCTAGAGTGACCCAGTTAGGCGAGATCCACAGCTAGAGTGATCCAGTTAGCGAGATCCACAGCTAGAGTGATCCAGTTAGCGAGATCCACAGCTAGAGTGATCCAGTTAGCGAGATCCACAGCTAGAGTGATCCACAGCTAGAGTGATCCACAGCTAGAGTGATCCAGTTAGAGTGATCCACAGCTAGAGTGATCCACAGCTAGAGTGATCCACAGCTAGAGTGATCCAGTTAGAGTGATCCACAGCTAGTGATTCACAGCTAGAGTGATCCACAGCTAGAGTGCTCCACAGCTAGTGATGCACAGCTATAGTGATCCACAGTTAGAGCGATCCACAGCTAGAGTGGTCCACAGCTAGAGTGATCCAGTTAGAGTGATCCAGTTAGAGTGATCCACACCTAGAGTGACCCACAGCTAGAGTGATCCACAGTTAGCGCGATCCACAGCTAGTGATCCAGTTAGAGTGATCCACAGCTAGAGTGATCCACAGCTAGAGTGATCCACAGCTAGAGTGATCCACATTTAGAGTGATCCACAGTTAGAGTGATCCACAGTTAGAGTGATCCACAGTTAGTGATCCACAGCTAGAGTGATCCACAGCTAGAGTGATCCACAGTTAGAGTGATCCACAGCTAGAGTGATCCACAGCTAGAGTGATCCACAGCTAGAGTGATCCACAGTTAGAGTGATCCACAGTTAGAGTGATCCACAGTTAGAGTGATCCACAGCTAGAGTGATCCACAGCTAGAGTGATCCACAGCTAGAGTGATCCACAGCTAGAGTGATCCACAGTTAGAATGATCCACAGCTAGAGTGATCCAGTTAGAGTGATCCACAGTTGGAGTGATCCACAGCTAGAGTGATCCACAGTTAGAGTGATCCACAGTTAGAGTGATCCACAGCTAGAGTGATCCACAGTTAGAGTTATCCACAGTTAGAGTGATCCACAGTTAGAGTTATCCACATTTAGAGTGATCCACAGTTAGAGTGATCCACAGTTAGTGATCCACAGCTAGAGTGATCCAGTTAGAGTGATCCACAGCTAGAGTGATCCAGTTAGAGTGATCCACAGTTATAGTGATCCACAGTTATAGTGATCCACAGCTAGAGTGATCCACAGTTAGAGTGATCCACAGTTAGTGATCCACAGCTAGAGTGATCCACAGAGTGATCCACAGTTAGAGTGATCCACAGCTAGAGTGATCCACAGTTAGAGTGATCCACGGTTAGAGTGATCCACAGAGTTATTCACAGCTAGAGTGATCTACAGTTAGAGCGATCCACAGCTAGAGTGATCCAGTTAGTGATCCACAGTTAGAGTGATCCACAATTAGAGTGATCCACAGCTAGAGTGATCCACAGCTAGAGTGGTCCACTGTTAGAGTGATCCACAGTTAGAGTGATCCACAGCTAGAGTGGTCCACTGTTAGAGTGATCCACAGTTAGAGTGATCCACAGCTAGAGTTATCCACAGCTAGAGTGATCCACAGCTAGAGTGATCCACTGTTAGAGTGATCCACAGTTAGAGTGATCCACAGCTAGAATGATCCAGAGATAGAGTGAATTTACAGAAGTCACAGTAAACAGTCATCCATCAGGTGGAGTTATGGAAAGGCAGGATCACTCCAGGAGGAAATAAAAACACAGAAAAGAAGTATCACTCCGGCAGGAAGATATAGAAAGGAAGGGATGAGGGAGATGTAGTAGGCGTGGCAAAGAACTGTTGTTTTGGATCGAGGATACACTCTCAACAGTCAAGGTTGGCAGGGGCTATGTGGCGCAGGTATGTTGGTGAGGGCTGTGTGGGTACTGCTGGGAGACTCACTGACATGTGGGAGGAATGTTGAAGGCAGTGTTTGTAATGCTGCGAGACTCATAATAATAATAATATTAATCTTATGTCTACATGTACATGATACAACTTATTGCATGCTTCCACTGTATCGTTAATAATGGTTACTTAATATGAAGAATCAAATTAGCGAAGGCTACGTAATATGTTCGCCAACATCGACAATTCTCAAAGCATCAAAAGATTCTTTTCCTGTAGAAGCATTTTAGATAGATTGTCAAGATGATCTCTCACCATAATGCAATATCTAAGTTCTTTCTTAATTAAGGTCTTATACATATCTCAAATACAGTAAACTCCCTTACAAAGCTCTTCCACATTGATGAGGATATTTCTATAGTATGTTGCTGATAATGATGGTTATTTGATAGTGCGTTTATATACGAGTTATTCAATATCGAATGGAACTTTCTTTTTAATCTCATCCCCCCCCCCGCCAAAAAAAATCGAAAATGTTTTCTGTACTTTACTAGGATTTTTCAGTTACCACAATACTAGACTCCTATTTGCCACAGCTCTGGTTCCCTATATACCACAGCACTAGTTCTCCAGGTATCACAGCCCCTGTGTGCCAAATCTAGAGCATCTCGATGGCGCTGGTCACTAGGGCCGGCCAGTGCTATTCTTACCAATGGGGAAACTTACCCCTTAGTCTCATCCTTCTCACCTTACCTGGCATGGGGAGTACCAGAGCTTCCCTCAGATGGCCTCCAGTGGGTGCACGGGCTGCTGCAGCGCTACTCTTATTCTCTGAAAAAAAAAAATCGTAAGTAATATTAATATTGTGTTGTGCCTATTATGGATCTCTGCTGTGCGAGTTTTGTTCCATGGAAAAACAAAGTCTTAATATGTATAAATATTAAACCATCTCTGTTTTTCGAGCGTGCTAGTTCTAGTTATATTATCTGGATAAATTTCATTAGTAATATATTAAATGTTTTGAAATGTGTAGTGTTTCCGTGTGACCTGTGGCGATGTTGTGTATATTGTGTTCAACTAGTGTATATTATGTGTTGAACTAGTGTATATTATGTGTTGAACTAGTGTATATTGTGTTGAACAGGACATTAAGATTCATGTGCGAAATGTTTACCTATGATGGAGTTTGTATAGAAACGTCCATATAACTTGAGATTTGTATTTTACACGAAATAATTCTCGCTTATATTTGTTAAAGAGAGAAAAAAATGGGATTGGTTAATAATGTAATTTGAAAATCAACTGGTGCACCCAGACTAGGCCACAGCCAGCCCCAGACCCACACCACAGCTTGGTCTAAATTCAGACCACAGCCTGACCCTGACAAAGACTACAGTCTAATTTAGAATTCGGCAATAGCCTAGCCCTGAAACAGTCCATATCTTGGCCTAGGTCTGACCACAGCCTTGTTCTGACCAAGTCTACAGCCTGACTGACACAGACCACGGCCTGGTCTTGACACAGACCACATCTTGGCCCTAACACTGATCACTATCTGGCTCTAGCACTGACCACAGCCTGGCCTTGACCACAAAATGGTACAAACACAGATCATAGGCTGGCCCTGACAGATCATAGCCTGGCCCAGACAGACCACAGCCTGGCCCTGACAGACCATAGCCTGGCCCTGTCACCACAACCTGGCCCCTGACAGACCATAGCCTGGCCCTGACGGACCACAGCCTGGCCCTGACAGACCACAGCCTGGCCCTGACAGACCACAGTCTGGCCCTGACAAACCATAGCCTAGCCTTGACACAGACCACATCCTGGCCCTAACACTGACCACATCCTGACCCTAACACTGACCACATCCTGGTCCTGACACTGATCACAACTAGCTTAAACACAAATCATAGCCTGGTCACGACACAGATCACAGCTTGGCCTACACCAAGCATAACTACAATAAGATATGTTAATGTGTAAACGTGTAGTAAATATGAACGTGTAGAAACTAATAACATAATTACTTCAAAGATCGTTTTTTCAAGTTTTTAAATACTCGGTGAAGGCATTTACCCTATTTATAGTTTTAGAAGCAGAGCTCGTGGTGTCTCGCCTTCATTGGTTATTTTTCTGGCAGATTATTGAACCTTAGGTCGTTCTGGAGACTAGGCACCCGACTTCTTCAAAAAATATCTTTGCAGGACGTGCGAGCACCCAGAGAGAAGCCTTCCAGTAATTCCTGAGCACCAAGCACCAAGATGCCTGGCCACGTCAAGAAGAGCACGGGCCCGGATCCAGACCCCACTGAATTCCTGTTCATCTCAGCCGAACAGAAAATCATAGACCAGAGCAAGCCTTACGATCCGAAAAAATCTTGTTGGGTTCCGAATGAGAAGGAGGGCTTCGTCGAAGGTGAAATTCAGAATACGAAAGGTGATTTGATCACTGTTTATGCTGGAGGTGAGACCAAAGACTGGAAGAAGGACCTCGTTGGTCAAGTCAACCCTCCCAAGTTCGAGAAATGCGAGGACATGTCCAACTTGACCTATCTCAACGACCCCTCCGTCCTCTACAACTTGAAGGCTCGCTACGTCGCTAGGCTCATCTACACCTACTCTGGTCTCTTCTGTATCGCCATCAACCCCTACAAGCGCTACCCCATCTACACCAACCGTGTGGTCAAGATCTACCAGGGCAAGAGGCGTAATGAGGTGCCTCCCCATCTCTTTGCCATTGCTGACGGTGCTTACATGAACATGATGCAACGTAAGTGTAATGGTGTACAATACAATGATATACAAGACACATGACCAACACACAGTATTCCTTACACTTGCACAACATGAGTTAGTAGGGTTATCAAAGCTTATTTCTTGGATAATATTTAGAATGGGCTGGAAAAATATTTTGTTTGAGGAGGATTTGGGTTTGGAAAGGACATGTCTATTATGGGCCGTTTGGCTCAAACTAGGCAGGTCCAACCATGGTTTACAACCTGGTCTGAAACGGGAGGGGAGATGGTTCTCTAATTTTTTGGATTAAAAGCTCTTCATCTACATCAAGATACTACCCACTGAAGGGGGACTGGGGAAGAGTGATTGAGATGAAGTTGCATGTACCTGTGAGATATGGCAATAGCGGTAATACTAAATGAAAACATGTGAAGAGAGAGATAGACTGACACTGGGAGGTGTTAAGCCATTTTTTTTTTAGATAATTTTGAATCAAGTATGAGGATAATTGTTTTGAGAGACCTTAATACCTTAGTGTCACAATAACTTCTTGTTTCAATCCTCTCTCTCTCTATTGCAACATACTTTTGTGTTAAAAAATCAATAAATTTGGTAGTTCCCTAAGTCTAAATTAATGTTCTGTGGCATTATCTGTACTTATTATTATTATTATTATTCTCTACTTACAGTTGGTGAGAACCAGTCCATGCTCATCACGTAAGTGTATTCTTAAGAATTTCTGTCTTTTAAGTTTCTGAGCCCCGAAGTTGTACACAGTTCTGATCATATTTTGCACATGTCTGACCAGTTCCGCAGTTTATCCGGGTCTGGTTCTAGTTTTTCTCTTTACTTGCCTTTATTTTTGATCCTCATACTTTTCACATCTACAAACAGTGATAAATTGAACTCGTTCTGTACTAGCATGTCATTCACATAATCTAGAAAGTTGACCAGTCCCATTACCGGGCCTGGCGGACCCCACTGTCAATGGCTAAATCTGATACCTCTCACCAGAAGATTAATCATTATCTCCTTCCCTTTAGGTATTGTATCAGCTACCGTGATGCTTTCATGTTATAAAAAGGCACAATACCGTGACTAGAACACTACATAAACGTGATTGATCATTGGATCAAGTCGTACTGAAACGTCGTCATGCGCCTCTTTCTGCTATTTGCGGGCTTTGTATAGCCCTTGTGGCTTAGCGCTTCTTTTTGATTATAATAATAATAATAATAATAATGCTATTTGCGGGTTACTTGTGTAGTGTGTTTTCATGTTATCCTTGCCTTTCCCTCTGTCTTCTGGCCCAGTCTCTTGTACGGTAGAGTATCAAGTGTCTTCTTGCAATCCACGAGTCAGCAGTCTGCCCATCTTTTTATCTCCCGGTTCACCTCTTTTAATATCTTGTAGAACTCTAGATTTTTGAGAAAAGATTTGCCATCTTCAAATGTTGATTGTTGACGTAGCTTCTTCTCTCTAGGTGCTCTATCAACCCCCCCTCTCTCTGAGTGCACGATCATTATCTTCTGTATGTGGCATATACATCACACATCCCACCTATGCACATCAATCACGTCCCCACCTACAAACATCACTCTCATCCCCACCTACAAACATTACTCACATCCCCACCTACAAACATCACTCTCGCATCCCCACTTACAAACATTACTCACATCCCCACCTACAAACATCAATCACATCCCCACTTTCAAACATCAATCACATCCCCACCTACAAACATCACATCCCCACCTACAAACATCACATCCCACCTACAAACATCACACATCCCCACCTACAAACATCACACATCCCCACCTATAAACATCACACATACAAACCTACAAACATCACACATCCCGACCTACAAACATCGATCACATCCCCACCTACAGACATCACACATCCCCACATACAAACATCAAACATCCCCACCTACAAACACACATCCCCACCTACAAACATCACACATCCCCACCTACAAACATCACACATCCCCACCTACAAACATCACACATCCCCACCTACAGACATCACACATCCCCACATACAAACATCAAACATCCCACCTACAAACATCACACATCTCCACCTACAAACATCACACATCCCCACCCACAAACATCGATCACATCCCCACCTACAGACATCACACATCCCCACATACAAACATCAAACATCCCCACCTACAAACATCACACATCCCCACAGACAAACATCACACATCCCCACATAAAAACATCACACATCCCCACATAAAAACATCACACATCCCCACCTACAAACATCATACATCCCCACCCACAAACATCGATCACATCCCCACCTACAGACATCACACATCCCCACATACAAACATCAAACATCCCCACCTACAAACATCACACATCCCCGCATACAACATCACACATCTCCACATACAAACATCACACATCCCCACATAAAAACATCACACATCCCCACCTACAAACATCACACATCCCCACCTACAGACATCACACATCCCCACATACAAACATCAAACATTCCCACCTACAAACATCACACATCCGCACCTACAAACATCACATATCCCACATACAAACATCACACATCCCCACATACAAACATCACACATCCCCATCTACAAACATCACACATCCCCACATACAAACATCACACATCCCCACCTACAAACATCACATATCCCCACCTAACAAACATCACACATCCCCACCTAGAAACATCACACATCCCCATCTACAAACATCACACATCCTCATTTACAAACATCACACCTCCCCACATACAAACATCACACATCCCCACCAACAAACATCGCACATCCCCACCTACAAACATCACACATCCCCACATACAAACATCACACATTCCCACATACAAACATCACACATCCCCACCTACAAACATCACACATCCCCATCTACAAACATCACACATCCCATCTACAAACATCACACATCCCCACATACAAACATCACACATCCCCACCTACAACATCACACATCCCCACCTAAAACATCACACATCCCCACCTACAAACATCACACATCCCGACCTACAAACATCGATCACATCCCCACCTACATACATCACACATCCCCACATACAAACATCAACATCCCCACCTACAAACATCACACATCCCCACCTACAAACATCACACATCCTCACATACAAACATCACACATCCCCACCTACAAACATCACATCCCCACCTACAAACATCACACATCCCCACCTACAAACATCACACATCCCCATCTACAAACATCACACATCCCCATCTACAAACATCACACATCCCACATACAAACATCACACATCCCCACATACAAACATCACACATCCCCACCTACAAACATCACACACCCCCACCTACAAACATCACACATCCCCATCTACAAACATCACACATCCCCATCTACAAACATCACACATTCCCACATACAAACATCACACATCCCCACATACAAACATCACACATCCCCACCTACAAACATCACACATCCCCACCTACAAACATCACACATCCCCACCTACAAACATCACACATCCCCATCTACAAACATCACACATCCTCATCTACAAACATCACATCCCCACATACAAACATCACACATCCCACCAACAAACATCGCACATCCCCACATACAAACATCACACATTCCCACATACAAACATCACACATCCCCACCTACAAACATCACACATCCCCACCTACAAACATCACACATCCCCACCTACAAACATCACACATCCCCATCTACAAACATCACACACCCCCACCTACAAACATCACACATCCCCACCTACAAACATCACACATCCCCACCTACAAACATCACACATCCCCACCTACAAACATCACACATCCCCACCTACAAACATCACACATCCCCACCTACAAACATCACACATCCCCACCTACAAACATCACACATCCCACATCTACAAACATCACACATCCCCATCTACAAACATCATACATCCGCACCTAGAAACATCACACATCCCCACCTAGAAACATCACACATCCCCACTTAGAAACATCATACATCCCCATGTACAAACATCACACATCCCCATCTACAAACATCACACATCCCCACCTACAAACATCACACATCCCCACCTACAAACATCACACATCCTCACCTACAAACATCACACATCCCGACCTACAAACATCACACATCCCCACCTACAAACATCACACATCCCCACCTACAAACATCACACATCCCCATCTACAAACATCACACATCCCCATCTACAAACATCACACATCCGCACCTAGAAACATCACACATCCCCACCTAGAAACATCACACATCCCACTTAGAAACATCATACATCCCCATGTACAAACATCACACATCCCCATCTACAAACATCACACATCCCCACCTACAAACATCACACATCCCCACATACAAACATCACACATCCCCACATACAAACATCACACATCCCCACCTACAAGCATCACACATCCCCACCTACAAACATAACTCAGTGGTGTTTATGTCAGGCAGTACTGCAGCACTCACTAAGTCTTAGAAAATATGTCTGCTCGATCATCTCACGAAGAACATTCACTTCGCCCTAGCTGATAAAATATAACCTAACAACATTCTGTGGCATCTTCATACATGTTTGCCATCAATGTTTACACTCAGCATTTGTATAAATGTTTGCCATCAATACTTAAACTCACCATTTTCTCTTGTTACTTTCCTTTCGTTTTCTGTTGAATATAACCGCGTACTTGCATATTCTGGTAAGGTAAGTAAGTAAGTTTATTCAGGTAAGTTTATTTAGGTACATATCTAATATAAAACAAATGAAGTTTAAGCTTTAGGGCCCCTAATCCCGGAGGGGCCCCAGAAGCCATTTTAGTCCACATTGTTTAAAAATTTTGGGTCTACTATATGAGAAAGTTTTTTTAAAAGTAGTAATATTATTAATATAGTGTAATTAAGTACAATGTAAAAGTTAACATAAAAAATTAAAAGAGTATTAAAATATGATGTAGGCTTAGCTGATGCTGGAGTTTTGAGACTCTATGACCGCGGGTTCAATCCCGGCCGGGGGTATGGTTTATGGATCCCATAACAGTTCAAGCTTCAGGGACCCCATAACAGTTCAAGCTTCAGGGACCCCATAACAGTTCAAGCTTCAGGGATCCTATAACAGTTCAAGCTTCAGGGACTGCATAACAGTTCAAGCTTTAGGGCCCTCATAACAGTTCAAGCTTCAGGGACCCCATAACAGTTCAAGCTTCAGGGACCCATAATAGTTCAAGCTTCAGGGACCCCATAACAGTTCAAGCTTCAGGGACCCCATAACAGTTCAAGCTTCAGGGACCCCATAACAGTTCAAGCTTCAGGGACCCCATAACAGTTCAAGCTTCAGGGACCCCATAACAGTTCAAGCTTCAGGGACCCCATAACAGTTCAAGCTTCAGGGACTGCATAACAGTTCAAGCTTTAGGGCCCTCATAAGAGTTCAAGCTTCAGGGACCCCATAACAGTTCAAGTTTCAGGGACCCATAATAGTTCAAGCTTCAGGGACCCCATAACAGTTCAAGCTTTAGGGACCCCATAACAGTTCAAGCTTCAGGGACCCCATAACAGTTCAAGCTTCAATCACTGCATAACAGTTCAAGCTTCAGGGCCCTCATAACAGTTCAAGCTTCAGGGACCCCATAACAGTTTAAGCTTCAGGGACCCATAATAGTTCAAGCTTCAGGGACCCCATAACAGTTCAAGCTTCAGGGACCCCATAGCAGTTCAAGCTTCAGGGACCCAATAACAGTTCAAGCTTCAAGGACCCCATAACAGTTCAAGCTTCAGGGATCCCATAACAGTTCAAGCTTCAGGGACCCCATAACAGTTCAAGCTTCAGGGATCCCATAACAGTTCAAGCTTCAGGGACCCCATAACAGTTCAAGCTTCAGGGATCCCATAACAGTTCAAGCTTCAGGGATCCCATAACAGTTCAAGCTTCAGAGACCCCATAACAGTTCAAGCTTCAGGGACCCCATAACAGTTCAAGCTTCAAGGATCCCATAACAGTTCAAGCTTCAGGGATCCATAACAGTTCAAGCTTCAGGGATCCCATAACAGTTCAAGCTTCAGGGACCCCATAACAGTTCAAGCTTCAGGGACCCCATAACAGTTCAAGCTTCAGGGATCCCATAACAGTTCAAGCTTCAGGGACCCCATAACAGTTCAAGCTTCAAGAACCCCATAACAGTTCAAGCTTCAGGGACCCCATAACAGTTCAAGTTTCAGGGACCCATAATAGTTCAAGCTTCAGGGACCCCATAACAGTTCAAGCTTCAATCACTGCATAACAGTTCAAGCTTCAGGGCCCTCATAACAGTTCAAGCTTCAGGGACCCCATAACAGTTTAAGCTTCAGGGACCCATAATAGTTCAAGCTTCAGGGACCCCATAACAGTTCAAGCTTCAGGGACCCCATAGCAGTTCAAGCTTCAGGGACCCAATAACAGTTCAAGCTTCAAGGACCCCATAACAGTTCAAGCTTCAGGGATCCCATAACAGTTCAAGCTTCAGGGACCCCATAACAGTTCAAGCTTCAGGGATCCCATAACAGTTCAAGCTTCAGGGACCCCATAACAGTTCAAGCTTCAGGGATCCCATAACAGTTCAAGCTTCAGGGATCCCATAACAGTTCAAGCTTCAGAGACCCCATAACAGTTCAAGCTTCAGGGACCCCATAACAGTTCAAGCTTCAAGAATCCCATAACAGTTCAAGCTTCAGGGATCCCATAACAGTTCAAGCTTCAGGGATCCCATAACAGTTCAAGCTTCAGGGACCCCATAACAGTTCAAGCTTCAGGGACCCCATAACAGTTCAAGCTTCAGGGATCCCATAACAGTTCAAGCTTCAGGGACCCCATAACAGTTCAAGCTTCAGGGACCCCATAACAGTTCAAGCTTCAGGGATCCCATAACAGTTCAAGCTTCAGGGACCCCATAACAGTTCAAGCTTCAAGGACCCCATAACAGTTCAAGCTTCAGGGACCCCATAACAGTTCAAGCTTCAGGGATCCCATAACAGTTCAAGCTTCAGGGACCCCATAACAGTTCAAGCTTTAGGGACCCCATAACAGTTCAAGCTTCAGGGGCCCCATAACAGTTCAAGCTTCAGGGACTGCATAACAGTTCAAGCTTCAGGGCCCTCATAACAGTTCAAGCTTCAGGGACCCCATAACAGTTCAAGCTTCAGGGACCCCATAACAGTTCAAGCTTCAGGGATCCCATAACAGTTCAAGCTTCAGGGACCCCATAACAGTTCAAGCTTTAGGGACCCCATAACAGTTCAAGCTTCAGGGGCCCCATAACAGTTCAAGCTTCAGGGACTGCATAACAGTTCAAGCTTCAGGGCCCTCATAACAGTTCAAGCTTCAGGGACTGCATAACAATTCAAGCTTCAGGGACCCAAAAATGTAGGTCAGCAGCTGTGTTCAGGTAGACTTTAGAAGAGTTACACATTATCGTAAAGATTAATATGTATAAATTTCCTTGGATAACCCAAGAAATTCAGATGAGATGACTTACTTCCTGTGGGGTTTTTGTAGCAAGGTTTTATTTAGTCATGATAAATAATTTATGTATTCTTTGAATCTTTTTTATTTTATTTAGGTAATTAAGTAGAATCTAACTTAGGATACACCAAAGTCTTTGCCTCCGTGACGCTACTTGGGAGTTTGTTCCATTCGTTTACAACTTTAGTGCCAAAGCAGAACTTTCTAATATTGTTTCTAAATCCAAATTTCTACATTTTGAATCTATTGCTGCAAGTCCTGTCTTAAATATTTTTCAATGCGCTGCTTATATCCCCCTTTATTCTTGTTTTCCATTTCTACACTTCGGTCATATTTCCCCTAATTCGACATCTTTTCACAGAATACAAGTTCCGCGCCTTCAGTTTCTATCTTCCCAGGAAAAGTTTCTAAGATGGAATCAAATTCGTCAACATTCTTTTAATACTTTCCAGCTGATGTATGTCCATCCTGTAACATGGCGATCACAACTAAACAACTATAATCTGAAAGAAGTCTAACCAAAGATATATAGATGAACTATAACCTGAGGACATCTATTATTTATACTTCTTGATATGAAACCAAAAAATCTATTAGCTTTATTGCGAACATTTATGCATGGTTGTCTTGGTTTTAAGTTTCTGCTACGTTCTTCATTATTTTGCTTATAAGTGCACTAGTTATTTTCTGTTACTAGGCCTAGAACTTATCTGCATTGATCTGCATCTGCCACTTCTCTGACCACAACGTCAACCTATCCAAGCCATCCTGTAGTGTCCACACCAGAAATTATTTGATTGCTTAATTTAGTGTCATCGGTGAGCTTATGTCACTATTTATTCCCCCATTAATGTTGTTTAGATTGTGAGTATCAAGGGGTCCCAACACTGACTCAGAAATTATCAATGAAAACCACATAGGTAGTCTGAATGATAATTAATGTTGGAATTTAAAAATTAGTGTATTAAATGTAATCCCCAAAGGACATGCTTGCCCCCCACAGTGGTGAGTCTGGTGCTGGTAAGACTGAGAACACCAAGAAGGTACTCTCCTACTTCGCCAATGTCGGCGCCACCACCAAGAAGAAGGGAGAAGCTGAGAAGCCTGTAAGATAATAAATAACTTTTAACTACTATTCTCCCCCTCCCCTCCAAAACAAATCCAATATTATTTTTGCTCTTTAATAATATACACGGGATCCACCTCTGGGCGAAAGGGTAGGCAGGTACCTATAACCTCGGAGAAGTAAATGAAAAAATTTAAAGGAAAAATTCTGAGATGTCTCTTAAGGCTCTTAATATTTACTTCCACCATGCTATCTGTTATATATAACTATATATTCCTTTTTATTTAAAACGATTTACAAATTTTAAAGGATATATTGATAGCAGAGGCGTCTAAAATGCTGGGAGAAAGGGACTAGTAATCCATTCTCCTGTATAAATTACTAAATTTGAAAAGAAATCCTTTCGTTTTTATTTTTCGGTCACCCTGCCTCGGTGGGATAGGGCCGGTTTGTTGAAAAAAAAATATTGATAGTACAAGGATGTGATTAATATACAATCAAACGGTGGCCAATCAGATATGATTCCAGGAACGGGAGAATATATCCAGTCCTTAGGATCAAGAGGTCTTAACAAGCGTCATGTAGTGGATAGGCCTTGAGGATTGTGTAGTAGATAGGCCTTAATAGCTATCATGTAGAATAGATGATAAAGACATTGACAACATAGACAAAATGACATCCGTACAACAGGTTTTCCAAGCCTAATCAAGTACTGCTTTTGTTTCTATTATGTCAAACTTCAGTATTCCTATATAATCTGTCATGTGTCTAGAAACTAATAAATTAACGAGACAAAACTGCTAGATAAATAATGTTTGTATCTCTTATTTATGATGAAAACACTGGCTTAATCTGCTTTCTTTTTTTATCCGACAGAACTTGGAGGACCAGATTGTTCAGACCAACCCAGTGTTGGAGGCCTTCGGTAACGCCAAGACTGTTCGTAATGACAACTCTTCTCGCTTTGTAAGTACAAGAATCTTTTCATACAGTCCTATATTTAGGTTAAGAGCTGGTACCCAGCACCAGCTTATCTCAAAACCCAAGCATTATCTAAAGCATACTACCACCCTCCAAGGTGAAGAAAGAATGTCACAATACCATGACTGGAACAATACACAGATAACTCGAGCATTAGAGGATGAAGCTTATGACGACGTTTCGGTCCGACTCGGACCATTAACTAGTCACAATAGACGAGAAACAGCCACGTAGTTATGACCAGGTCAACATGGCAGCTCGTGTATGACCTCTTGTCCATGGCTTTCTCCACCCGGGAACTAAACTCGTTACTTATAATTACTCGTTACTTATAATTATTATCGTTACTTATAATTATTATTGGTATATATTTCCTAACAACTCTGGTTTCGTTAGTCACGTTGTCCTTTGCTATCAAGATGTTTTAAATAAATACGAATAAAATAATGCAGCTACTACATTTTAATAAGAAATGCAGTAATACTATCTAAATTTGTGATACAAAAAAGCTCTTTGGTCCAGAAACACAACGATGGTCTAGTTACCAGCTGTCTATATACACTACAAGATGTTTATCTTTCACTGAATATGTACATGAACTCTGAGACAAATTAACTTTAATGTTAGTGTTCGGTGGAACCTCTGGTCACGACCATAATTCGTTTCAGAACTGGTCGTGACCCGAACCTAATTTTCCCATTGGATTGTATGTAAATATGATTAATCCGTTCCAGACCCCTACGAACTGTATGTAAATATTGTTTTTTTAAGGTTTTTAAGCCTCAAAATAGTTAATTATACCATAGAATGCAGTGTAATAGTAAACTAAATGTAAAAACCTTGAATAACACTGAGAAAGCCTTGAACAACAGAGAAAACTAACATTGCACGAGTCCGTCCTAGACCCGCAACACTTTTCGCTGGATGTAATCTTGTAATCGCGAAATCTTTCACGAAAGCTTCCGCAGCAGCAGCAGTGTCAGAACTAGCAGCCTCTCCACGCCTTACACTATGAATGCGACTTCTCTTACGAAAGCTTCCAAACCATCTTCCACTGGCTTTAAATTCATCACTTTCTGCACTCGTAGAAAGGTAATTCTGCCGTAAATCACTGTATTTCTTCCTGGCTTTCTCGCATATATACTCGCTTACGCTATCACCTGCAAGTTGCTTCTTCAACCACACTAGCAACAGTTTCTCCACCTCTTCCAGCACTTGAGGCCTCTGCTTGGTTAACATCGTAACTCTCTTAGCAACATTAGCTGCTTTAATAGCCGCTCTCTGCTTCGAAATTGTCGAGATCGTAGAGTTCGGCGTCTTGACCTCCGCAGCAAGATCGGTAACACACACACCATACTCATACTTTTTAAGAATTACCTTTTTCACTTCTGTTTCAGTTTTCTTCAAACCTTTCTTTTTAGCTACATTACCACTCTTCACTTGCTTAGAGACCATAGTTAATTGCAAAATAAAAAAAAAACACGAAATACAACAAAAGGAGTTCACAGAGTGAACGCCCGTCTGACCGAGACACTACAAAGTGGTGTGTACACAAACAACAGGAAGTGGGGGAAATTGGTGCCTGCGAAAAAATGGCGCTGAATGTGGAAGTTGTCGCGGCTGTGTTTGTTCGGCACTCAATTATGTGTTCGTGACCAGATGCAAAAGTTTGGCGAATTTTTTGGTCGTGAACCGATTTGTTCATGCTCGGAAGTGTTCTTGACCAGAGGTTCCACTGTACTAGGTTTCTTCTTCGTTCCCCCTCAAGGGAGGTTCTTTGATACTAGTGAGGGGCTCTTGATCTAGGGAATTGGATCTGTGCTCCAGTTCCCTGAATTGAATCTGAATGCCTTCCATCCCCCCCACATGCGCTGTATAACCCTATGGGTTTAGCGCTTCCCTGTGATTAAAATAATAAAAATTCTTCTTCGTTTTCTACATCTAAATTTCACAGGGTCAGTGCTTGCCACTCAATCTGTCTTACCTTCATGATTTCATACTGGAAGAACAGGTAATACTTCACTAACTTTTGAACTAGCACAAAATATTCTTAGACCATTCTTAAATGTTGTGCTGATTGTTTCTTAAGTGTAGATGATGAATTGAATATTCCTTCAAGACTGTAGTTCAAACCAACATAACCTATTATTAATAATACAATATTTACAGACATAGCAGTAAGGAATACATATTTTTTAATTATGCCTCAAGAATTGTTTATCTCATTGTATATTGGTTCGAGATTCTAGCGATCCTCTGTTATCAACACACAGGGTAAGTTCATCCGTATCCACTTCCAACCCAACGGCAAGTTGGCCGGTGCTGACATTGAGGTCTACCTGCTGGAGAAGGCCCGTGTTATCTCCCAGCAGTCATTGGAACGCTCATACCACATCTTCTACGAGATGATGTCCGACCAGATCCCGATGATCAAACGTAAGTTTTCTCTGCAGAAGTCCGGTGTAGCCCTGGCGACCAGGTTTTATGTGATCTGGTGGGATTTTGGCATCCATGTTTGTTGTAATCCTGGACATCAGGTCTGGTCTTCACATCCAGGTCTGCTGAGGTCTTGATAACAGTCTTAGTGACTAAGGCTGCACTATCTCCACCAACTATATGTATATATATATATATATGTGTCGTGCCGAATATGTAAAACTGGTCAGTTAGCAAGAACTCATTTAAAATTAAGTCCTTTCTAAAATTTTCTCTTATACGTTTAAAGATATATTTTTTTCATTAATGTTAATGTAAAAATTTTTAATTTTGTACCAAAAGAATCTTAGAAAACTTACCTAACCTTATTATAACAAGAGCAATTTATTTTAGCCTAACCCAACTAAATATATTTTAGATTTGTTTACAGTAATTTAATACTAAACAAACACAGTGAAATGTATTTTTTTCGTTAGGTTCAGAATGATTTTGGCAAAATTATTGCATACAAAAATTTTCACTTGTCCTATATGGCAAGATGAGAGTTGCTATTTAAGCCAAGATCGCAAGTTCTGCTTATTCGGCACGACATATTATATATATATATATATATATATATTATATATAATATATATATATATATATATATATATATATATATATATATATATATATATATATTATATTATATATATATATATATATATATATATATATATATATATTATATATATATATATATATATATATATATATATATATATATATATATATATATATATATATATATATATATATATATATACACATAACGAATACAGGATGTTTTTTTCTTCACCTAGCACATGTCACGTATCTTTCAGAAGTTTTATCTGATAAACAGAATATAAAAACATCAGTGACAGTATTTATGCTTATCATCTCAGTATTTACCAGTTTTTTAATTTATCTCTTCAAACAGGTGTAGTGTCTGATATGTGGAAGATGGCTAATGTAATTCCTATTTTTAAAACAGGGGACAAGTCGTTACCGTCAAATTACCGCCCAATAAGCCTGACCTCAATTGTAAGCAAATTACTAGAGTCAATTATAGCTGAGATTATAAGAAGCCATCTCGATAAGCATAGCTTGATTAATGATACTCAGCATGGATTCACAAGAGGCCGGTCTTGTCTAACAAATTTATTAACTTTCTTCAGTAAAGCCTTTGAGGCTGTTGACCACGATAAAGAATTTGATATTATTTACTTAGATTTTAGTAAGGCTTTTGATAGAGTTCCGCACCATAGACTGTTAAAGAAAGTGGCAGCTCATGGCATTGGGGGAAAAGTGCTCTCGTGGATCGAGTCATGGCTCACTGATAGGAAGCAGAGAGTGTCCATAAATGGGGTTAAATCCGAGTGGGGATCTGTAACAAGTGGCGTTCCACAGGGATCAGTCTTGGGCCCGTTGTTGTTTATAATATATATCAATGATCTTGAGATGAAGGAATTACTAGTGATATGAGCAAATTCGCCGATGACACAAAGATAGGTAGGATAATTGATTCAAACGTAGATGTTATGGAACTTCAGGAGGATTTAAACAAACTCTATTCTTGGTCAGAAAAGTGGCAGATGCAGTTCAATGTAGATAAATGCAAGGTTCTGAAGCTTGGGAGTGCCCATAACACTAGTACTTATAAGTTAAATGATGTAGAACTTAGCCATACAGATAGCGAAAAGGACTTGGGGGTTATGGTGAGCAGCAACCTTAAACCAAGACAGCAATGCCTAAGCGTACGTAATAAGGCAAATAGATTACTGGGATTTATATCAAGAAGTGTAAGCAACAGAAGTCCAGAGGTCATACTGCAGCTTTATACATCATTAGTAAGGCCTCACCTAGATTATGCAGCTCAGTTCTGGTCTCCATATTACAGAATGGACATAAATTCGTTAGAAAACATTCAGCGTAGGATGACTAAATTAATACATAGCATTAGAAATCTTCCTTATGAAGAAAGATTGAAGACTCATAAGTTACATTCACTTGTTAGACGAAGAATGAGGGGAGACCTGATCGAAGTGTATAAGTGGAAGATAGGTATTAATAAAGGGGATATTAATAAGGTCTTGAGGATGTCTCTCCAAGAGAGAACCCGCAGTAATGGATTTAAATTAGATAAGTTAGATTAGAAGGACATAGGAAAGTATTGGTTTGGAAATAGGGTAGTTGATGAGTGGAACAGTCTACCTAGTTGGGTTATTGAGGCTAGGACTTTGGGTAGTTTCAAATTTAGGTTGGATAAGTACATGAGTGGGAAGGGTTGGATTTGAGTGGGACTTTCACATCAGAGCTTATTTCTTGGGTAGCATTGAAAATTGGGTTGGGCAAATGTTTTGTTAGTGGGATGAATTGTAAAGAACCTGCCTAGTATGGGCCAACAGGCCTCCTGCAGTGTTCCTCCTTTCTTATGTTCTTATGAAACAGCAAGCTTGTCTTATTTGCGAATGGGATGTTGGCAACTGAAAACACTGGGCTGTGGCAGGCAGTATAAACTCTAAGAAAAGCAGATCCCGTCTCGCTGAAGTCTGGCCACCCTGACGTTAATACACAGGCTTAAGCCTGTAATAAATTGAGAATATTTTTACCACTTTTTTCAATGCCTAAAGTGGGTTTAATATATGGGCATGACAAATTTAAATGGCTCATGGAACTGTAATAACACGACTGCAAACGAACCACGGAACGGGTGGAGGGATTTAAAAAATAGTATATGAATTATGTAGTTTATCCTCAATTATTACATGTCACTGAAGTTCAGTGCGTTGTTATTGTGTGAAAATGACACATTTTTGCGTGAGCAAAATGAGAAATAATAATCCTTAGGATTCGAACAGCTGTCTGGGAATCTTATGTCACAGACCGGGTCGCGGGGGCGTTGACCCCCGGAACTGATCAAGGTCCCAGGACCGAAACGTTTTCTAATAAATATGTTATAGTGTTTGCTTACGTGTCTTTCTAAACCAACTAGTCGGTATTTATTACCAAGGTTTATACCACCCCCGGAACTCTCTCCAGGTCCAGGTAAACAGTGGCGCCAGTAGCCTCTTTAATTTCCTAAATCATTCATTTTGAGTTTTGTGACCACCAAATACACATCACTGCAAATTCTGACAACCTTCTTACAGTTTACTTCCCTCATCTACAGCCATGTGTTTCCTTAGCGACGATATCTACGATTATCACTACGTGTCTCAGGGCAAGGTCACCGTCCCTTCTATTGATGACGGCGAGGACATGCAGTTCTGTCATGTGAGTGGTGGAACCTCATGCAGTGGCGTGCAGAAGGGAGGGCCGAAGGAGCGGTGGCCCCAGGCATCACCAGACCTCTGCACGCCACTGTCCTCATGTGTGCAGTTCGAACCTCCCCTCAGCACCATCGATGGAGTATGGAACTCTTTATCGATGTGTCGTTTACTTATTTTGACGATTTTTTTTGAGACAATCGATAATCATCCCTCATCTTCTAAACGTGTTTCAAGTTTTTTGGTAGTCACTCATTTATAGTTGGCTCCCGCAGTCCAAAACTGAGAAAGAAACAGTCGGACTGACAATACTCGTTTTTTTAAGATGATTCCGCCCGATAAATGCAAAATCGTTTTATTCCAATATTAGTGAGGAAAAGATACAAGCGCTGAAGAAGCTCTGTGTAGAGCTCTATCAGGTCAATGACTTGATAAGTCATTGACTTCATGAAGCTCTACATAGAGCGAAACGTTGCCACAAGAAAAGCCAGCTCTACGCTTGTGTCTCTTCTTTTACAGATATCGATGATTCTTCTTCCATCTCTGTTGTTTTGTTTCTAAAATGCAGACTGTTATCCTATCATTTCAAAGGTGTCCAGTCAGCGGAGGTAACATGCTGACACAGCGCTTCAGGTCACTATGCTGATAGTGCACCAGATCACCATTCTGACACTGCACTAGGTCACCATGCTGACACTGCACAAGGTCACCATGTTGACACAGTACACCAGGTCACCATGCTGACACAGTGCACCAGGTCACCATGCTGACACAGTGCACCAGGTCACCATGCTGACAGTGCACCAGGTCACCATGCTGACACAGTGCACCAGGTCACCATGCTGACACAGTGCACCAGGTCACCATGCTGACACAGTGCACCAGGTCACCATGCTGACACAGTGCACCAGGTCACCATTGCTAAGGACATCGTGACACAAGGTCACTCATGCTTGCACCAACGTGCACCTTAATAGGATATATCTGAACAACAGTGCATTTATAATGTATAAAATGCTTCAAATATTAGTTCCTTTACTTACATTAGATAAAGGTAAAACGATAGACTTTCCGTACAATATATCCTATATAAAATTACGAGGGGTATTTTTTTTTTTTGAGAGCCCAAAGTCGATTCTGTGTTACATTAATATGAAATAGTCAGATGAAATTACCTATATAACAATTTCACTAGGATTTTTTTATAGTGATAGAAAAATTAGTATAATTTGTGAGGGGGAAATGAATGAGTTCCTTAAGATTTCATTTATTCAGATAAGGAATATTGAAGCATAATGCTTCCTGAGTAAAGTAATACGACTAATTGAATGGCAATATATCGACTAGGGTATCAAGCTAGAGTAAATATCTAAGTAGATGAATCAAGCTAATTCTTCAGATAGCAGTTCACTAGAGTGAATATCAAGGGGTGATCAAGGATGGAATTAGACCATAGTGAATCAGAACTAGGATTTCAGTAGGTTTAGAGTAGATATCAAACCTGAGTGAATAGAGTGAGAGTGAAATCAGAGCTAGAAGAGAATCAGAGAGATTGATTAGAGAAGTTTCTTTACAGAGATAGAGTGAATATCAGAGCTAGAGTGAATATCAGAGCTAGAGTGAATATCAGAGCTAGAGTGAATATCAGAGCTAGAGTGAATATCAAAGCTAGAGTGAATATCAGAACTTGGTGTAGTCGCAGGTAAGTTTAGAGGAAACTGGTCTTGGTTTTGGATTGAAAAGTCTCAATGTACTAGTGGAACCTTGAAAGACAAAGTTAAGAGTTTCAATAACGAGTGGGAATAAATTAAGCACACAGTAACGATGCCACTATGTGGGTGGTGGTGCCGCTTGTTTTAAATATTTTAGTTGTTTTATTTTGTAGGGAAACTGAACAGAATAGAAGCAAATGAAGAAACTCACTGCAAAATAAATGACTGTATACTGAATGTAAGTACAAGTTCACACACACATGACGCGACATTAATACCGCCACAGATGATTATATATCTAACCACACACTCTAGGAAACATTAATACGCACATTATGTTTATTTGAGATAACAACTTCCTAGTTATTGGTATTTGACTTGCACTTTGATATTCAACATGGTGCTTCAATCCGGTGTTTGTAAGGACGTGACCAAATACGGAGGAATCAGAGAACTGCTTCATGATACACAACCATCAGTACTGTATATGGCTTTGTTCACTTAGAATATAAATGCTAAAACCGGACGGGTCGTACAGCGCCTGGCCTTGTCCAAAACAGCCAGCAGAACTCATATATAATTTTAATATTTGTCACCATCTCTCATTAGGACGCCTTCGATATCTTGGGTTTCAGCGCCACAGAGGTTGAGAATGTGTATAAGGTGACAGCCACCGTTATGCATATGGGCGAGATGAAGTTCAAGCAGAGAGGTCGGGAGGAGCAGGCCGAAGCTGACGGTACTGAGGTACTCTTGAGACCTTTAAGAAAGCTGTTTGAAACATTGTCGATTATATTACTGAAATTGTTTCAGACTTTAATGTTAGAAAATCTAAGGTTTTATGTATATTGTACCCATAATAGGTTGGGAAAAAAGTTGCAGAGTTGCTTGGTGTTGAAGGCGATGATTTGTACAAGAATATTACCAAGCCCAAGATCAAGGTCGGAGCTGAGTTCGTAGCCAAGGGCATGAACGTAAACCAGTGCAACTACTCCGTCGGTGCCCTGGCCAAGGGTATCTTCGACCGTGTCTTTAAGTACCTGGTGGCCAAGTGTAACCAGACTCTGGAGACTGGCCAGAAACGTGCATCCTTTATTGGTGTGCTCGACATTGCTGGCTTCGAAATCTTCGATGTAAGTTATTTTGTAATTCCAGTAACAATGTATAATTATTTGGTTTTATATATAATCCTTATTATATGTTCAGCATAAAGTGGGTTTTTAAATCTTACTTTGGTTTTGATTTTTAAAATCTTACTTTGGTTTTGGTTTTTGAAAGTCGAATTCAATTTTCAGTACAACGGCTTCGAGCAGATCTGCATCAACTTCTGTAACGAGAAGTTACAGCAGTTCTTCAACCATCACATGTTTGTACTGGAGCAGGAAGAGTACAAGAAGGAAGGCATCAACTGGGCTTTCGTGGACTTCGGTATGGATCTGGCGGCTTGCATTGAACTCTTCGAGAAGGTAACACGTCACAATACACTTTTAGAGATCGTAATTTTTCCCTTTCCCAGTTTTTCTGTATTATTTAATTGATATTCAACTTCATTTATTTGACAGAAAATGGGTATTTTATCCATCCTGGAAGAAGAGTCTATGTTCCCCAAGGCTACTGACAAGTCCTTCCAGGAGAAGTTGAACGCTAATCATCTAGGCAAATCCCCAGTGTTTATCAAGCCCAAGCCACCCAAGCCTGGGCAGTGTGAAGGCCACTTCGCCATCGTTCACTACGCTGGTACTGTCACTTACAACTTGTCTGGCTGGCTGGAGAAGAACAAGGATCCCCTCAACGACACCGTCGTCGACCAGCTCAAGAAGTCAAACAACGAACTTGTCGTCACTATCTTCCTTGACCATCCCGGACAATCTGGTGGTGGTGACGCTAAAGGTGGTAAGTTATTAAAGAAGTTGGTTTGCATCTTTAACATAAACGATACGTTCATTGTCTATAAATTATTATGTGATAATTTACACCTATAATTTAAATTATTAGATTACTTTAGTCACAGAGTATAGCATTTATGCTTTGCTAATTAACATACATATTTCAGCCACAATCACATTTTTTTTCAGAAACGATAGTTGGTATGTTTATATTATTCTTGTAGTTCATGCAGAAAGAAAATAATTTAAAAAAAAAAAACATTATCTCTCTTCTAAATATTATTTGTTCAAACTATTTTTATATAATATGTAGAACTAAACATGCCTTATGAATTACTGAAGAATAAAGTAAACAGTTGTATATTGTAATTTACTTGTAATTTAAACACTAAAGACGTATGAGTCAATACAAGTCAACAGTTGTAGATATCTCTAACAAGATGATGAATTAAGACACGTTTAACACTTGCCTATCTTAACCCAAGTGTTACACTTGGGTCTGACTCTCTGTAATATAACATTTATAATCAGTTTTCTTCGCTTCCTTCAGGAGGTCGTGGAGCCAAGTCTGGTTCCTTCAAGACCGTCTCATCTGGCTACAGGGTTGGTATATATCCTGCAGTATTTACATTTTATGCTTTCTGTTTTTTTCAATATATATTAAAATTACTTCGAAATATTAATTTTTTTATACGCTGTTTTATGCCATAATTCACTTGTAAGTGAATGTTATACACTACACAAGGTTCACACTACGAAAAGTGTCTCACTTAATCTATATGCATGAAGTTTACCTAATCCTTATTTGATGATTTAAAGTATTACTAACGATGGTTTTAAGGTAGTTTGTGGTCTTGATGATCTTTGTGAAGCTAATATTATTTGAAGCTAAGAGTGTTCAACGTTTGAAGCTCACCGGAAGAAGCTTGCTAAGATAATCTGATAAAAAACATAATCGGGAATGGGCCATGTAAAATCGAACAGAGGCGCCTGCACATGCCAGTTGTCCCATCAATCTTCCCGCGGTTACACTTCATCATGACTGAAAATTGAAGCTGATTGGGTAAAGTGTTCAGAAATTACAAACGAAAGAATTTGGAGGAAATTAGCAGAAGATTGAAAATTGGTGCCTTCAACTCCTGCCTTCAACTACTACCTTCAACTCCTGCCTTCAACTCCTGCCTTCAACTACTACCTTCAACTCCTGCCTTCAACTACTACCTTCAACTACTACCTTCAACTCCTGCCTTCAACTCCTACCTTCAACTACTACCTTCAACTACTACCTTCAACTCCTGCCTTCAACTCCTACCTTCAACTCCTACCTTCAACTCCTACCTTCAACTCCTACCTTCAACTCCTACCTTAAACTCCTACCTTCAACTCCTGCCTTCAACCTACCTTCAACTCCTGCCTTCAACTCCTACCTTCAACTCCTACCTTAAACTCCTACCTTCAACTCCTGCCTTCAACTCCTACCTTCAACTCCTACCTTCAACTCCTACCTTCAACTCCTACCTTCAACTACTACCTTCAACTCCTGCCTTCAACTACTACCTTCAACTACTACCTTCAACTACTACCTTCAACTCCTGCCTTCAACTCCTACCTTCAACTCCTGCCTTCAACTCCTACCTTCAACTCCTGCCTTCAACTTCTGCCTTCAACTCCTGCCTTCAACTCCTACCTTCAACTCCTACCTTCAACTCCTACCTTCAACTCCTACCTTCAACTCCTACCTTCAAACTCCTACCTTAAACTCCTACCTTCAACTCCTGCCTTCAACTCCTACCTTCAACTCCTGCCTTCAACTTCTGCCTTCAACTCCTACCTTCAACTCCTACCTTCAACTCCTACCTTCAACTCCTGCCTTCAACTCCTGCCTTCAACTCCTACCTTCAACTCCTGCCTTCAACTCCTGCCTTCAACTCCTACCTTCAACTACTACCTTCAACTCCTACCTTCAACTCCTGCCTTCAACTCCTACCTTCAACTACTACCTTCAACTCCTACCTTCAACTCCTACCTTCATCTCCTACCTTCAACTCCTACCTTCAACTCCTGCCTTCAACTCCTACCTTCAACTCCTACCTTCAACTCCTACCTTCAACTCCTACCTTCAACTCCTACCTTCAACTCTCCTTCACTCCTACCTTCAACTCCTGCTTCAACTCCTACTTCAACTACTACCTTCAACTCCTACCTTCAACTCCTACCTTCAACTCTACCTTCAACTCCTGCCTTCAACTCCTACCTCAACTCGTACCTTCAACTCCTACCTTCAACTCCTACCTTCAACTCCTGCCTTCAACTCCTACCTTCAACTCCTGCCTTCAACTACTACCTTCAACTCCTACCTTCAACTCCTACCTTCAACTCCTACCTTCAACTCCTGCCTTCAACTACTACCTTCAACTCCTACCTTCAACTCCTACCTTCAACTCCTACCTTCAACTCCTACCTTCAACTCCTACCTTCAACTCCTACCTTCAACTCCTACCTTCAACTCCTACCTTCAACTCCTACCTTCAACTCCTACCTTCAACTCCTACCTTCAACTCCTACCTTCAACTCCTACCTTCAACTCCTACCTTCAACTCCTACCTTCAACTCTACCTTCAACTCCTACCTTCAACTCCTACCTTCAACTCCTACCTTCAACTCCTACCTTCAACTCCTACCTTCAACTCCTACCTTCAACTCCTACCTTCAACTCCTACCTTCAACTCTACCTTCACTCTACCTCAACTCCTACCTTCAACTCCTACCTTCAACTCCTACCTTCAACTCCTACCTTCAACTCCTACCTTCATCTCCTACCTTCAACTCCTACCTTCAACTCCTACCTTCAACTCCTACCTTCAACTCCTACCTTCAACTCCTACCTTCAACTCCTACCTTCAACTCCTACCTTCAACTCCTACCTTCAACTCCTACCTTCAACTCCTACCTCAACTCCACTTAACTACTACCTTCAACTCCTACCTTCAACTCCTACCTTCAACTCCTACCTTCAACTCCTACCTTCAACTCCTACCTTCAACTCCTGCCTTCAACTCCTACCTTCAACTCCTACCTTCAACTACTACCTTCAACTCCTACCTTCAACTCCTACCTTCAACTCCTACCTTCAACTCCTACCTTCAACTCCTACCTTCAACTCCTACCTTCAACTCCTACCTTCAACTCCTACCTTCAACTCCTACCTTCAACTACTACCTTCAACTCCTACCTTCAACTCCTACCTTCAACTCCTACCTTCAACTCCTACCTTCAACTCCTGTTTAGCTTAAATTTGACAAGATGGAAATTTATTATATATTAATAATTTACCAAAGTTAAGGTCAAAGAAACAAAGTTTTCCATTCACTACAAGAAAGATCCTTACGTCATCGTAACTGTTAAAGTCAATGTATTTCTTATTAAAGATACTTTTTATAGGCAGATGTATAGTAGTGCAGTGGGAAATCCTCTGGTCCAATTCTGGAATTTTTTTTTTTAATAAAATAATTACTTTGAAACTGAATTATTAACACGGATTTTAATTCATGATCAAATTTGGTTGATATATGTTGAGGGTGAATTTCGTTTGTCCATAGAGACAACATTTTCAGACCTCCTAAGCCAAATTAAATAATTTTAAACTTAAGAAGAGATTTGAATACAATGGGCAATAGGTAATCGTCCTTACCTAGTAGTGGCCATACAGAGCATTACTTCCTAGGATCAAAAGGCCCTTCACTAGCATGAAGACATCTTCAACTGTAAGTAACCCTGAGGGTCTCACAGGACCAGCTCAACAACTTCATAAAAACACCGAACACTACACATAATTATTAACCCTGAGGTTCTCTCTCACAGGACCAGCTCAACAACTTCATAAAAACACCGAACACTACACATAATTATTAACCCTGAGGTTCTCTCTCACAGGACCAGCTCAACAACTTCATAAAGACACCGAACACTACACATAATTATTAACCCTGAGGTTCTCTCTCACAGGACCAGCTCAACAACTTCATAAAAACACCAAACACTACACATCATTATTCCCCTCAAGGAAGGCTCCTTGACGCTGGTGAGGGGCTCTTGATCTAGGGAATTGGATCTGTGCTCCAGTTGGATCTGTGCTCCAGTTCCCTGAATTAAGCCTGAATGCCTTCCATCCCCCCATAGGCGCTGTATAATCCTACGGGTTTAGTGCTTCCCCCTTGATTATAATAATAATAATACACATCATTATTAACCCTGAGGTTCTCTCTCACAGGACCAGCTCAACAACTTCATAAAAATACCAAACACTACACATAATTATTAACCCTGAGGTTCTCTCTCACAGGACCAGCTCAACAACCTCATGAAGACCCTCAACGCCACTCATCCTCACTTCATCCGTTGCATCGTTCCCAACGAGACCAAGTCTCCTGGTATGTTAAGTCAAATTATTATTGTTATATACACATGTAAGCACAGAACCACAATTTTTTTTTCACTAGGGATCGTATAACGCACAAAAATTCCTAGTTACTGCTAGATATTCCCTGGGAAGTAACTCTAGGCTTCTCTGACCAGAACACCAGTTAAACTATTTAACTGTGTGGCAAAGACAAATCGAAGAATGGATTATTTATTGATCAAAATCTGGTACATCAAAAGAGTGCTGGTACCTCATTCTTTATTATAGTTACAGAATGAGAGTGAGAATTGTTTCTCTGGTGTTCCACAACACAGGATCCTGGATCACATACAGTGTTGGAATCTGTCAGCCTGATCTGGGAAGCTCCAGTAAGGCTGGAGAAGCTGGATTTGATTCAGGAGAAGGGAGGATATCTCCAATTCCTTGGATCAAAAGCCTTAACACCAGTATACAGGCACCACTCTTCAGTACTATCACTTCGGGTATATTTAGTAAAATTTATTAGTACGATTTTTTTTTTAATCTTTGAATTGTTCTATAGTTATATATTTGATTCTTTGTTTTTATTTGAATTTTCTGAAAGTTTCGAAGCTCTAAACCCGTGTAGGTCCTGGAGTGCTGGAGGCCTATCCTCCTTCCAGACACGCTACCCAATTGGACTCCCCTACCTTCCCACTAGCAAGAGGGAAGCTTATACTGAAGCGTGAAGCTTGTGTTGCAGCTTCTGGAGCTGCAGACTATTTTATATTTGCATATAAGGTGTACATTTTCCTGATGTGTTCAGGTGTGACTGACGCGGCCTTGATCATGCACCAGCTGACCTGTAACGGTGTACTTGAGGGCATCAGGATCTGTCGTAAAGGCTTCCCCAACAGGATGTTGTACCCTGACTTCAAGCAACGGTGAGTTGGCTTCTCGTACCCCTGGTCTCATATGCATGAATAAAACACATGTCTAACAGTTAGGTAGGTTCATTTTCGAAACGTTTCGCCTGCACAGTTGGTAACTGTGTTTACATATTGTAAATCTCACTCTCCATGTCTTATACCACAGCTACAAGATCCTGGCCTCCCAGGAGATGTCAGCCATCCCCGATGATAAGAAGGCAGCCAAGGCTTGCTTCGACAAGGCTGGTCTGGACTCTGAACTCTACCGCCTCGGCAACACCAAGGTATATTGAAGCAGATGTAGCTCGTTTACCTCACCTTATTATTCTTAAGATCCTTATTGATAACGTGTATTAGGCACTGTTTTTATTTCACGTTCACTACCGCCTTTCTTGTATTAAATATTTGCATTACATTTTGAAAAAAGAAACTTGCTATCTAGTATGAAATGTATGTATTTTTAGCTTCTGTTACACACTGTATGTTATTCACAGATAATCCAAACTTGACGTTTCGGTCCGTCCACAATCATTATCAAATCACTACTGTTGTGGCTTAATAATTTTCCTGCACGGACTGAAGCGTTCTCAAAATTTCCTCTCCATTGCTTGGGTTATTCATGAATTTCTTCAGTTCTATTATGACCTGTATTATTCCTTCGTGGAATCATTCAATAAACTTTAGGGTTTTCCTAGTTCATCCAGTTTATATTAGAACTGTCTTATCTAAAAATTTCATTCAACAAGGTGTTCTTCCGTGCTGGCGTCCTGGGTACCTTGGAGGAGATCCGTGATGAACGCCTGAGCAAGATGATGTCCTGGCTACAGGCTTGGGTTCGAGGCTTCATCAGCCGTAAATCCTATGTAAAACTTCAGGAGCAGCGCGTCTGTCTCGTTGTCGTTCAGCGCAACCTGAGGAAGTTCCTGAAGATGCGCACCTGGGCCTGGTACTCCCTCTGGCAGAAGGTCAAGCCTCTGCTCAACGTCACTCGCATTGAGGATGAAATCCACGCTCTGGAGGAGAAGGCTGCCAAGGCTCTAGAGGATCTCGAACAGGAGATCAAGCTGAGAAAGGAACTCGAGGCTTCTAATCTTCATCTCCTGGAAGAAAAGAATAACCTGTTGCTTGCCCTGGAATCCAGCAAAGGCAATATGAGCGAATTCATGGATAAGCAAGCAAAACTACAGTCCCAGAAGAGAGATCTTGAGGCTCAGCTTGAGGTAAGGTAGTTCAATCGCTGCTACTCCAGGATGTTAGTGAGGGAGGGAGAGGGAAATGGATGGGATTGAAGGAAGACTCTGAATGATAAATAGTGAGGGAGGGAAAGTAGTAATGGGAGGATTATGTAGTGAAGGGAGAGGATGAGAGAGATTGGGGAGAGAGGGAGGGAGTGGTGGTTATTGGTTCTTATTCCTGGTTGTTTGTTATTATTGTTTGTACCACTGAATCTGCTGTATTTCTCCTTCTGCTCTTCCTTTATTTACTACCTTGTGGTGTGTTTTGTGATCCTCTTAACATAACCTTAGTTCTCACTCATCTGTTTTGCTACCTTTTATTTCCCTATTCCATATTTTATCCTTCATTATCTTTATTACTTATTAACAATGACATTTTTTAAGTTCATTTTATTTTACTGCCTGATTTCACGCCTTTTTTGAGTAGTTTTTAGATGTAAATTTTGAATAGTTACGTCAACACTTAACCTGCAGGAGACGTGTGAGCGCCTGCAGAGGGAACAAGATGAACGCGGCGCACTCCTCCAAAGCAAAAAGAAAGTGGAGCAGGACGTGGCACTTCTGAAGAAGGAAATTGAGGAGCTGGAGCAAAACATTCGTAAGGTGGAGCAGGAGAAGGCAGCCAAGGACCACCTCATCACCAACTTCACCGAAGAAATCTCCCACCAGGAAGAGCTCATCAACAAAGTAAACAAGGAGAAGAAACACCTTCAGGAGATCAATCAGAAGTCGGCCGAAGACAACCAGAGCATCGAAGACAAGTGCAATCATCTCAACACTGTTAAGGGCAAACTGGAACAGCATCTGGATGAACTCGAAGATGCTCTGGATCACGAGAAGAAACTGCGCGCTGACGTTGAGAAAGTCAAGAGGAAAGTTGAGAATGACCTGAAGCTCACCCAGGAGGCTGTGGGTGACTTGGAGTGTAGCCGTAGAGATCTCGAGCAAGCCCTTGATAGGAAAGATAAAGAATTTGGTACTATTGCCAAAAAGCTTTCTGATGAACAACAACTTGTAGTCAAGCTCAACAAACAGATTAAGGAACTGCAACTTCACGTAGAAGAGCTGGAGGCAGGTGTTGAGCACGAGCGCCAGGGCCGTACCAAAGCTGAGAAAGCTAAGACTAACCTCGCGCGTGAATTGGGAGAGCTGAGTGATCGCCTAGACGAGGCTGGAGGAGCCACCGCAGCTCAGATCGAACTTAACAAGAAGCGAGAGGCCGAGCTGGCCAAGCTCCGCTGTGAGTACGAAGAGAACAACATTCGACACTCTTCATCCATCAACCTTCTCCGCAAGAAACACACGGACACTGTAGCCGACTTGGCGGAGCAGATCGAACACCTCACCAAGATTAAATCAAGGTGAGCAATTAGTTTTCTAGCCTAAATTTATATGCACATAACTTTACTCTTATATTTATGAAATTTTTTGAAGTGTTGGTAATTGAGACATTTGAGAATCTTTATTCTGGAAACACATTGACTCGAGGCTGAGGGACTGATTACCTCACACTCATCTTCCACTATTCTTTTCTGAACTGGATTGAAGAAACCACTGGCTGGCGAAATATTCTCACAATAAGGATTCCCAAATGTTGTCCAAGTGTCTCAATTATCAACTTATCGGTTTTCTAAAGCATTTATACAAAGTTTAAAGTGTTGTCTAGCGTTATTCAAGTATTTTACATACGTGTCTGTGTTTGGATGTTATCAGGCTGGAGAAGGAGAAAGACTTGATGAAGAGGGATGCTGACGAGGCTAGAGCTGCTATGGACAGACTTTCTCGTGATAAGGTAAGGTGATTTCCCATTTTGTTTGTTTTACCTTGAATCATATAATGAGAAAAGTATAGTTCCAGTTTATGTTACAAAAACTTTAAGGAAGTGAACTGCAGAAGTCTGGTAATCGTCGAGGTTCTCATAGAGTTTCTGTTATTATTTTATTGCAGTGATTTGTTTTGTGATTTACTAAGAACAATGTGATTAACTGAAAGCAAAATTGTTGTCAAAGAATGGCAGGAAACATTTAATTTGTAGTTGTGTCAGTTAGGCTAAACAAAATTCTTGGAGGAAACCTGTGACAATTTTCCCTTCGGGAAGAAAGGTCTCGCATTCTCCTGGGACGAGTTAATTTTCATAGTTCAAATAAATTTTCGAGTTTGTATTTTTCCCTATGATCAGTAGCATCTCTGCTGACCAAGAGTAGAGAATGTTGTTGTCAACAAGAGCATATAATAGGTGAAGTCCCACACCAACTGTGCCTTTATTCCAGTGAGATATATATATATGTATATATATATAATATAAAAAATAAAAAAAAAATAAGTATCTTGAGTTGAAGATACCCGGATGTTGCACATCTTATCGGTAATGTATAACATTCATATACAACGATAACAAATAGATGAGTGCACACACCTTATTATGGCTGCTGGGGTGGCGAGTCTCTTCGCCTCTATGTTTCTGTGTAAATCTCTGAGTGAGCGTTAGTTCACGAACCAAGTTTATTTTGACCGAACTTTTTTTGGTCCAGGCCGAAGTTGAAAAGATTAACAAGCAACTGCAACATCAGCTCCACGAAGTTCAAGCTAAATGTGACGATGGACTTCGCACTCTGAGTGACTACGACGCCACCAAGAAGAAGCTTTCTCTGGAGAACGCTGACCTCTTGCGGCAGCTGGAGGAAGCAGAGGCCCAAATTGGTTCACTAAACAAGCTCAAGTTGTCTCTTTGTAACCAAGTGGAAGACAATAAAAAGACTGCTAATGAGGAATGCAAGGTAAGTGTTGCTTACTGTAGTCAGTCACTGACACTTGTTTTATTCCTTCATCTCAAACCTCTCATTCATCTCAGTACAAAAAAAAAAAAAAAAAGTAACGGGTGAAGTTTTAACCCATGACCAGTGAACCGTAAAACAATTGTGTTATTACAGTAGTTTCGTGATTCATGTCAGCATAATTTTCAGTGTACCGTTGCTTTCTTCCCTACGCTGGCGAAGGGCTTCCCTTCCTCTCCTGGAGTCATCCCCAATCCCTTCCCTCGCAGGTGGTGTATAACCCCTACGTGAATGCAGTAATAATAATAATAATAATAATAATAATAATAATAATAATAACAAGAGAAATACTGTTAATAATAATGTTTATTTTGACAGTTGCGCGCGACCCTGCTAGCCAAGTACCGCAACCTGGAGCACGATGTTGATGGTCTGCGCGAACAACTTGACGAAGAAAATGAAATCAAGGCTGAATTACAGCGCTTGTTGTCAAAGGCCAGTGCCGAGGCCCTCATGTGGCGCTCCAAGTATGAGTCTGAAGGTGTTGCTAAAGCTGAAGAACTTGAAGCTGCTCGTACGAAGCTTGCCTGTCGTCTTGAAGAAGCCGAAGCACAAATTGAGCAACTGAATGTCAAAAATTTGAATTTGGAAAAGACCAAACAACGTGCTTTAGCAGAGTTTGAGGAGATGCAAATAGCAGTTGAGAAAGCGCAGACTTTAGCTGCTGCTGCGGAGAAGAAGCAAAGGACCTTTGATAAAATTATCGGTGAATGGAAAATCAAGGTTGATGACCTGGCTATGGAGCTCGATGTTTCCCAGAAGGAGTACCGTACTTTATCCACCGAGAACTTCCGCCTCAACGCTGCTTACGAAGAGAAGGTGGAAAACGTTGAGGCAATGCGACGCGAAAACAAAAGCCTCTCCGATGAAATTAAGAATCTCTCCGATCAGATTTCCGAAGGCGCCAACACCCTCAACGATTCCCAGAAAACTATCAGACAGTTAGAGGCTGAGAAGGAGGAACTTCAAGCTGCTCTTGAAGAAGCAGAGTCGGCCCTCGAGCAGGAAGAAAACAAGGTCCTTCGTGGCCAGCTCGAGCTCGGACAAGTCAGGCAGGAGATCGATCGACGCATTCAAGAAAAGGAGGATGAATTCGACAATATCCGGTCAGTGTCCTATATGTTATTTACATTTTTGGATGGTACAAACCTTGTTAATTGATACCGACGAATTAGTTTCAAGAGACAGGTGAGCAATCATAAGGACATATTTACTAGAAAATATTGCGGTCCTTGGACCTTGATCAAGGTCCCAGGACCGAAACGTTTTCTAATAAATATGTCCTAGTGTTTGCTCACGTGCTTCTTTAAACACATTTTTGGATATACAAAAATACATTGGGAAAGAGAAAATGAAATATATGTAAATTGTAGTGCTGGGTAAATTTGGTTAATAGCCGAAGAACCTCAGAAAATAAATGTTTTCATAGACGGGGCGGCTGAGAGACCATTGAATGAACATTAAATTAGGAAACCACAGTACGGGTGGGGTTAGAACCCATGGCAAGTAAATGGTAAGACTCCATGCTAGTGGCTTACGCACTGGCTTTGAGTTTTATCCCCCCCCCTCGCTACTCCATAGACCTCTAGGAGTATTATTCTCTCTCTCTGACTGGATTAACAGTCGGAACATCGAGCCTCCAACACTTACAAATCCACATGGGTTTACCTAGTGCTTCCTGGAATCTATCATAGAACTGGTAGGGTTCGAATTGACCTGTGAGCTTTGTGACTCGCTCGCCATGAGTTCAGATCCCACCCGCGCTTTGTTTGCACTTGTGTCATTACGATTTCGCAAGTCATATAACTGGGAAGTTTACCACATCAAACTGACTCACGAAATCGCAATAACACGATTGCAAACAAACCACAGGACGGGTGGGGATCGAACCCATGACAAGTGAGTCCCAAAACTCACAGGCCAGTTCGAGCCCAACCAGTTCTATGATAGATTTCAGGAGGCACTAGGTAAACCCATGTGGATTTGGAAGTGTTGGAATCTCGATTTTCCGTCCGTTAATCCAGTCAGAGAGAGTGACCATTACACTGCATTGTTTATGGAATTATGTGGCTTAAGGATGACTGAGGAAACCCTTCGAGTCCCCTTCTGGAGATGCGCTTCCATGTTGGTTCTTGATCCAAAAGACTGAAGCTACTCTTTACTTCCTTGAATTAAATTTGAATGCCTGCCAGTGCCAGATCACTGTATAATATACGAGTTATTCGCCATGAACGTAATTAACAATAATAGCAATAAAAATAGTAGTAAAATAACAATAATAATAATAACAGTGAATGTTTCAGTTATTTAAGCTGTGTAATGCTAATTTATTTCACTGAATTCATGCTGAGATAACGATGGTATAAATATTGCAGTTGTTGTCAACGTCTTACACTGAGGGTGGATGGTAACATTAACTTGAGAGGCTGGTATGGTATTTTTGTATAAGTATTAAGATGTATCGTATACTCTCTGATTTGTTGATACGTATTACAGTAAAAGCCACCAACGTGCTGTTGAAACACTGCAAGCTTCCCTCCAGACAGAAGCTAAGGCTAAAAGTGAAGCTCTTCATTTTAAGAAAAAACTCGAGACTGACATTAATGAGCTCGAGATTGCCTTAGATCATTCCAATAAAGCCAACTCGGAGCTGCAAAAATTCGTAAAGAAACTTCAGAGCGAAGTCAAGGAGCACCAGACCAGGTACGAGGAAGAGCACAAGATGTTTGTCGAGTTACGGGAGCAGTTCAGTGGGTCAGAGCGTCGGCTGTTGACTCTTCAGGGTGAGCTGGAGGAGTCTCGCGCTCTTCTGGAGCAGTCTGACCGTGGCCGCCGGAACGCGGAGTCCGAGCTCTCTGATGCCAACACAACGATAACTAAACTCACAACTGACAATGGAATACTTACAGCCAGTAGGAGGAAACTCGAGAGTGAGACGCAAACACTTCACGTAAGTTTCCTTTCTGTTCTTGTCAACGAATTCATCATATACAGAGAATCTTGTCTTTATTCTCTGGAGTTAAGCGGATTTCTCTATGTACGCAACTTTAGCTTAGGGTAAGTTAATGTAAACTTAACGCTTATAACAGAATTTAACACGCATAGCAGAAAATGGGTAATTTTTGAGACCACTTCAAGTAAATACACCAGAAAACCATCATTCTGGTATAAGGAAAACGGCTTTTTTACTATCATAAAATTCATGATGAAAATTATTGAAGCAGCTAAGTTTATTTCAAACGTTATTTAACTCTACAAAATCTACACAGCATTTTTTTTATTTCTTCAGGCTGACCTGGATGAAATACTGAAAGAATCCAGAAACTCAGAGGATAAAGCAAAGAAAGCAATGATTGACGCTGCCCGCTTGGCTGACGAACTACGTAACGAACAAGACCATGCTCAGACGGAAGAGAAGATGCGCAAGGGACTGGAGATTACGGTGAAGGAACTTCAGGTTCGACTGGAGGAGAGTGACAGCCTCCTGCAGAAAACGGGCAAGGCTGCCTACATTAAGCTGGAAAACCGCGTTCGTGAACTGGAGGGCCTGCTGGACAAGGAGGTCAGCCTTCACTCCGAGGCTCAGAAGAACCTGAGGAAGAGTGAGAGACGCGTCAAGGAGATCTCCTTCCAGTTTGACGAGGACGTAAAGAACCAAGAGAAGATGCAAGACGCTCTTGACAAGCTGCAGCAGAAGGTCAAGTCCTATAAGCACCAGATCGAAGAGGCCGAAGAGATCGCTGCTCTCAACTTGGCCAAGTATCGCAAGGCCCAGCAGGAGCTGGAAGACTACGAGCAGAGAAATCTTCTCACCTCAAATCGTACCTTCACCCAGCACGTTGAAAGTTCTGTGACACAGGTCGTGCACTGAGAAGCCTCAATCTTCAGTATTTTCCCTCATGTTTACAACACCTCAAGAGGTGCTTAACGAATAATGTATCTTTGTATGTTATTAAAACATACACAAGAATAATAATAATGAAGCTGTTAATAATAGATGAGTGAATTTATTGTCCATAATTTTATACTTCTAAAATTATTTAAGCATATAAAGATGACAAAAAGATAATTACTTGGATATTCATTTGGTATTCCATTCTTTCTGAAGGTATTGACGAGGCTCGAACATTGACGAGGCTCGAACATTGACGAGGCTCGAACATTGACGAGGCTCGAACATTGACGAGGCTCGAATATTGACGAGGCTCGAACATTGACGAGGCTCGAACATTGACGAGCTCGAACGTGACGAGCTCGAACATTGACGAGGCTCGAACATTGACGAGCTCGAACATTGACGAGGCTCGAACATGACGAGGCTCGAACATTGACGAGGCTCGAACATTGACGAGGCTCGAACACTGACGAGGCTCGAACATTGACGAGGCTCGAACATTGACGAGGCTCGAACATTGACGAGGCTCGAACATTGACGAGGCTCGAACATGACGGGGCTACGCCACTATTGACGAACTAAATTACGATTAAATTCGAAGGTACAACCATTCGTTCTACATCACCACGAAATAGACCAGGCTCCAAGGCAATGGACTTACATAATACCCAACCTGGGATCAAACCTGACTACCGCACCATGACAGAGGTCCTCAACTTGACGAGGGCTCTTGGTCAAGGAACTGGAACAACAGCCCCACTAGTGGTTACTAATCATTTTTTCATGATCAAACCTATTATACATTTAAATAGTTCCTGTTACCCAAGGTATAGCACTTCCCAACTGGATCAAATGATAATACGGGAAATGTTTTTCGATAAGAATGTATTCAATTTTTTTTTTTGGAGATTTGCCACCTTAATAAATAATAGGGAAAGTTAGGTATTCATGAAGCATAAAATATATAGATACATCATTTATATTTACAATCGAATTTTTTTAGATAATAATGTATTTTTACAGTTTTTTTTGGAGATTTTCCAAAAAAATTATACAGAATTTGGATGTCATGCTGCCCTAAACCCTTCAATGTGTTCAACTGTATTTTTAGTATGTATATGTATATTATTAAGATAATGATGTATATAATTAATTTTGAGATATAAAAATATACAAAATTTTGTAATATAATATATATATAATATATATATATAAAATATATATATATATATATATATATAAAATATATTTTACATTATATTTATTAAGATACATAATAACGATTATTTAACTACATATATTGTAGGCTATATTTATTAAGGATAAAAACTATATACACGGAGTGAGAGTTTCAGACTAACATCCTATTTTAGCCCTAAATATTTATCTAGCTGAGAACCCTGTTAGTATATCCAACCTGGCAGATGCACCCTAGTCTCCCAGACCTGGGAGAACATCCTAGTATCTCCCAGACCTGGAGAACACCCTAGTATCTCCCAGACCTGGGAGAACATCCTAGTATCTCCCAGACCTGGGAGAACACCCTAGTAGCTCCCAGACCTGGGAGAACATCCTAGTATCTCCCAGACCTGGGAGAACACCCTAGTAGCTCCCAGACCTGGGAGAACATCCTAGTATCTCCCAGACCTGGGAGAACACCCTAGTAGCTCCCAGACCTGGGAGAACATCCTAGTATCTCCCAGACCTGGGAGAACACCCTAGTAGCTCCCAGACCTGGGAGAACATCCTAGTATCTCCCAGACCTGGGAGAACATCCTAGTATCTCCCAGACCTGGGAGAACATCCTAGTATGTCCCAGACCTGGGAGAACATCCTAGTATCTCCCAGACCTGGGAGAACATCCTAGTATCTCCCAGACCTGGGAGAACATCCTAGTATCTCCCAGAATTGGGAGAACATCCTAGTATGTCCCAGACCTGGGAGAACATCCTAGTATCTCCCAGACCTGGGAGAACATCCTAGTATCTCCCAGACCTGGGAGAACATCCTAGTATCTCCTCAGACCTGGGAGAACATCCTAGTATGTCCCAGACCTGGGAGAACATCCTAGTATCTCCCAGACCTGGGAGAACATCCTAGTATCTCCCAGACCTGGGAGAACATCCTAGTATCTCTCAGACCTGGAGAACACCCTAGTATGTCCCAGACCTGGGAGAACATCCTAGTATCTCCCAGACCTGGGAGAACATCCTAGTATCTCCCAGACCTGGGAGAACACCCTAGTATCTCCCAGACCTGGGAGAACATCCTAGTATCCCAGACCTGGGAGAACATCCTAGTATCTCAGACCGGGGAGAACACCCTAGTATCTCCCAGACCTGGGAGAACATCCTAGTATCTCCCAGACCTGGGAGAACATCCTAGTATGTCCCAGACCTGGGAGAACATCCTAGTATCTCCCAGACCTGGGAGAACATCCTAGTATCTCCCAGACCTGGAAGAACATCCTAGTATCTCCCAGACCAGGGAGAACATCCTAGTATATCCCAGACCTGGGAGAACATCCTATTATCTCCCAGACCTGGGAGAACATCCTAGTATCTCCCAGACCAGGGAGAACATCTTAGTATCTCCCAGACCAGGGAGAACATCCTAGTATCTCCCAGACCATGGAGAACATCCTAGTATCTCCCAGACCTGGGAGAACATCCTAGTATCTCCCAGACCTGGGAGAACATCCTAGTATCTCCCAGACCAGGGAGAACATCCTAGTATCTCCCAGACCAGGGAGAACATCCTAGTATCTCCCAGACCAGGGAGAACATCCTAGTATCTCCCAGACCTGGGAGAACATCCTAGTATCTCCCAGACCTGGGAGAACATCCTAGTATCTCCAGACCAGGGAGAACATCCTAGTATCTCCCAGACCAGGGAGAACATCCTAGTATCTCCCAGACCTGGGAGAACATCCTAGTATCTCCCAGACCTGGGAGAACATCCTAGTATCTCCCAGACCTGGGAGAACATCTAGTATCTAGAAGAAACACCCTAGTATCTCCAGACCATGGAGAACATCCTGGGGTCCTAGTATATCCCAGACCGGGAGAACATCCTAGTATCTCCCAGACCTGGGAGAACATCCTAGTATCTCCCAGACCTGGGAGAACATCCTAGTATCTCCCAGACCAGGGAGAACATCCTAGTATCTCCCAGACCTGGGAGAACATCCTAGTATCTCCCAGACCATGGAGAACATCCTAGTATCTCCCAGACCATGGAGAACATTCTAGTATCTCCCAGACCAGGGAGAACATCCTAGTATCTCCCAGACCAGGGAGAACATCCTAGTATCTCTCAGACCAGGGAGAACATCCTAGTATCTCTCAGACCAGGGAGAACACCCTAGTATCTCTCAGACCAGTGAGAACACCCTAGTATCTCTCAGACCAGGGAGAACATCCTAGTATCTCTCAGACCAGGGAGAACACCCTAGTATCTCCCAGACCTGGGAGAACATCCTAGTATCTCCCAGACCAGGGAGAACATCCTAGTATCTCTCAGACCAGGGAGAACATCCTAGTATCTCCCAGACCATGGAGAACATCCTAGTATCTCCCAGACCTGGGAGAACATCCTAGTATCTCCCAGACATAGGAGAACACCCTAGCTTAGGAAAGTTCTCCGAGGGGCGAAAGTGTTCAGTGAGAGAACACAGTAATAAAGAGAGAACACAGTAATTAAGACAGAACATAATAATAAAGACAGAACACAGTAATAGAACACAGTAATAAAGAAAGAACACAGTAATCAAGACAGAACACAGTAATAGAACACAGTAATAAAGAAAGAACACAGTAATAAAGGCAGAACACAGTAATAAAGAAAGAACACAGTAATAAAGGCAGAACACAGTAATAAAGAAAGAACACAGTAATCAAGACAGAACATAATAATCAAGACAGAACACAGTAATAATGGAACACAGTAATAGAGAACACAGCAATAAAGAGAGAACACAGCAAGAACACCAGCTCTAACCTTACATAGTAATCTGAGGAAGAACACCAACTCTAAGCTTACATACTGAGCTGAGGAAGAACATCAGCTCTAAGCTTAGTGAACTGAGGAAGAACACCAGCTCTAAGCTTACATACTGAGCTGAGGAAGAACATCAGCTCTAAGCTTAATGAGCTGAAGAAGAACACCAGCTTTAAGCTTACATAGTGAGCTGAGCTCATGTACATCAAATCTCACTACTGACGCATCACTCTCTGACAAGAGAGCTTTCTCTACCGTTGAAGTGAGCTCTCTCCCTCACCACACTACATCTCATAACCCACTATACACGAGGAGGTTGCTTCAGAATCAGGTCCACAGCCTCGCCTCGTAACCTCACGGACTCCTTACTATAAATAAAGGAATTATAGAGTGGCTTCCGCATTATACAGTCAAGTATTAGAACCATGATGAGTGGTGCTGTGTATGAACCCGGTTTATAAGTATACACATGGTTCGTGTATACACGTGGTTTATGTATACGTATAGTTAGTATTTAATGTATGTTGTTTAATTTTACCAGGAGGACTGGGGTCTCTTAACACATTTACACAGCAGTTGTTTCTTTGAAGCGACTTGGCCAGTTGTGTAATACTCATCTATACCTGCTAAATCCAGGTGGGCACGGGGCAGCAAGGATGCCCCAGGAGCATTTAAAGTGAGTTTTTGATGTATGTTTGGGGAGGAGGAGTTCTTGCTGCTGTGGCCCTTGAGGATATGAAGACTGAAGTATACTTGTATTACGGGGCTTTAGGTGTGTATGTGTATATATTGTGTGTGTGTATATATCTGTGCCCCATCTAGCTGGAGCTCCGCCCAGCGATGCCACCAGCCACTCACACAACTTTCTGCTGGCACCGTAAACAGCTGTATGAGAGAGATTTACTGCTGTTGCTGGCGTCACCCTTACCTTCTTAGTGCTTCAAGATTCACGTTACATCAGCCGGTGTCTAGGATGGTGTACACTATGTGGGAATGTTGGTAGTGTTCACTAGACAGTGTACACTATGTGGGAATGTTGGTAGTGTTCACTAGACAGTGTACACTATGTGGGAATGTTGGTAGTGTTCACTAGACAGTGTAC